GGGGTGCGGCAGGGGGAAACCGAGATGCAGTCGGCAGTTACGAAGAAACGAACAAGAAGCTCCTCTTCGGTAAACATATAGGACAGAGATATAGAGTTTATTAGGGCTAACAGTGGATTGATATTCTTATCGCTAGGTTAGTACCGCTGACCATTACACCTAGTGTAAATGTATAGGTCCGAAGGCGTGGGACGGAAGTGGGTCTCTATCTGAAGCCACAGGTCCTCGCCCGCCATAGATGCCCTATCCTGCAGAAACTATAAGCCCAGTCACGCAATTTTTGGCGGGCCTTGTGAGTCAGATATCAATTTTCGAGAGAAACTTGCACCTCCATGTCGGAGAACACACATAGAGTAAGGCACGGCCCACTTGAGCCGTAAACATCGTCCAAGAAAACCATCGTGACTGAAAGAAATAATGGGGTTCTTTCGGGGTTGCTGTTTTGAGTATCGCCGCTGGCTAGTGCCCAGGTATTTGACGGTAGGGTCCACCTCCATTCGTAGCCAACGAAGAGGTTTTGTTCTCAAAGTGCATCATCAATAAACATGCATTATCCAAAAGGTTGTACGAGCAAGCCCCCATGCACTTGCCCTACTTGTTCTGTCTGTGGCGGGCTGTTTAGATCTATGCAGAAACGAAGTGAAGATATAGTCTGAGTGCATCGAATTTCAGTTTAAGGCGAGGGCATTTTACTTGTCAGTTGCGACTATGGTCTCTCTGAAGTCCCAAGACAGCTTTTCAAGCTAATTGATGCGACATTGTCAATGGATCGTCGTTTGTCTTCAAGCGCTGTATTGCCGGCGGCTACAGCGTGGTAAGCAAATAGCGCAGTGTTAATTTCCTTGCTCTCTGATTTGTTCTAATATTCCTTCTATAGTAATATATTGCTGTGGAATATCTCGTTTTGATATCGCTATAGTACATACCCAGAAGACCTGGCAGAGGAGGTATACATAATCCGGGCCTATGCCGGAGGTGCCCCGCACGCCTAGCGGCCGTTTGGCGGCTCGCTGCGGACGACAACCTGCCAAACATTCGGCATCTGCATCACGGAGACATCCCTGGTTTATTATAATCCGGAGTTTACTTGAATTGAAATATCAACCTGAATACGGAGGCTCGGCTTTGGTCAATGCTTGTTACCCGGACGACTTCTCCATTGAGCCGCATTATCCTAAGAGGTCACTGTACGCACCAGTCCTTCGTCCGATTTCAAGCGAAGCGTGTCGTCACACGAGACCATTCTACCATGTTGCGAGGGTGCACTTTCAAGAATGCCTTATTGAGGTCCACAGGACCGTCTATGGGCCTCTGGCAGACGCTGCCAGGCGCCAATGTGGCGAGAACTTTGGCGAGATCTGGCGTGGATTGGGTCATGGTAGACTGTGAACATGGCAATATCGATGGTAAGTGTTTCTTTTTTTTCTTTCTTTTTTCCTTCTCAATACCCCCCTGTTCTTATCTTTCAAGGCGGATCAGAAGAATGTTATGCTGCTGAAAGGTTTGACATTGATATATACTAACAAAGAACGCAGACGCTGCCATGCACGATGCTGTCCCAGCCATTGCCAGCTGCGGTGTTAGTCCACTGGTTAGAATTCCAGACATGCAAGGATGGATGATCAAACGTAAGGCCATCAATACCTTAGTAATTGTGGGTTGCTGACAGTTACCATAGGAGCATTGGACTGCGGAGCTCATGGTGTATGTATAGAGACTGATGGCCAGCTGTGGATCTTCGCTAACATTGAGTTCGTAGATACTGGTCCCGCTTCTCCGAACCCCTGATGAGGCCAGAAAGATAGTGGCAGCAGCAAAGTTCCCTCCCCAGGGTCAGCGGGGGTTAGGCTCTCCATTCTCCATGGAGCGCTTCAACCCGATACCTACCATGACAGAGTATCTACAGAAGGCTAACGAGTCTCTCTTGACGATGGTCCAAATAGAAACGCAAGAGGCCCTGGATTCGGTCGAGGAGATAGCCGCAGTGCCTGGGATCGACCTTCTGTTCGTGGGGCCTTTCGACCTGGGCAACAACATTGGCCACCCCATTTTGGACGGAGTGATAAAACCAGAGCTGGAGGAGGCCATCGAGCGCATCCTGGCGGCCACCCACAAGGCCGGAAAGAAGGCTGGTTTCTTCGCCACTAGTGGTGAGCAGGCGAAGAAGTACGGCGATAAGGGATTTGACATGGTCAGCGCTGCGTGTGATACTACGGCCCTACAAGCCACGATCGCCGTATCGTTGAATGCTGCTCGGGGGTTGGGTAAGCCTAACACTGGCGGGACATACTAGGCACGGCTAAGGCGGGGTGTTGGCGACATTCGCTAATATAGTCTTGCCCATAAACTATGCCATTCACGATACATCAATGAATGCAACTGTGGTGTGGTGTGAAATCGCCATCAAAGAAGGTTGCTAATACTGGCATTAGATCGCCCCAACGATAAGAGATAGTTATCGTAATGTGTCTACTCAAAGCAGCTTTATTAGTGTTCAGGCGAGTAGTTAAGCGAACTCATTTGTCATTTAGCGGAATAATGCATGGAATGACCAACTAGGTACGGCGTCGTAGATAAGTCTAATTGGGCTATTCAATGAGGAAACAGGATCATGACAGGTCGGTCGACTGATAGAGACTTTCTTGGCAATATTTGATGTATATTCTGCTTACTTTGTATCGAAGTGCACACCAAGGCCGTGCTCGCCCACACGAGGCGCTGGCCGATTTCATTCAAGCTCCTGCCACAGAGCACTCTGAGGAGAGACCGGTAAACACCAGCAAAAGTCCGGGCCCTTCCGGAATTCTCTCCTGCAGACTTAACCTGGCAGGTACCTCGTGTCATTGGGCACACAACCGCAAGTTGTGTTTGGAAACTGGCCCCCTAATTCCGTTAATATGGCGCTATGATTCGGCCATGCATAGATCCCCAGTCATCCTATATGCAACTGGTAGAAAAAGTCTTTTCAGACCGAGTCGAGCGGCTGCTGTAACCTTATGGATAGAAAGGTGTGCGAGCCTTTGGTCTTGATCGCGGCATGGAGGCTCACACCGATCTTCACCATTTGTTCCGATCGCAATTGACAAGGCGAGGACGCGCGATGAAGTCCTTGTTTGTCTCCGCTGCCGAACATTAGGCCGAGTATGTGTGGCCCGATTGACGCTCTCGTGGGCGCCAGTTCGCTCTGACTTGAATTCTGGGCCATACCAGCCGTCCTTGGTTGTCATAACTGTGTTCTTACTGAGCATCTTAAGATTTTGTTCTTCGTGACGATTCATGCTGTCTGAATACTCTCAATCTAGAGGCGGTATGTGCAGCAAGCTTTGGTAGGCTTGATTGGGGTCCAGGCCCTGGCCTAAACCGTGCACGAGATCGTGAGCCAAGATCGGCGATACACCTTCTTGCGATGAGATCTGCCCCTCAGCAGTCGTATACGCTGCATCCACCATTGTCTCAGCCGGTACATTCGGCATGGTTTGCATCGCGCTGGCCATCTGACTCAACAGTTCGATGTGTGAGATAAACCCTCCCCCGGTCTGGTTGGACTGGGCTAAGAGTGATATGCCACCAGTCCAGTCAGCACCCCAAACATCTGGCGGTATAATGTCCCCATCGTATACGGCCATCCGCACCGGCCATTGCAGCCGCGGCCACCATTCTTGATCGTCCGGGTCGAAGAGTGACAAAATCCCCATGACCTCGCGACGCGCTATCCCTTTCAGCCACCAGACGCTATCAAGGCTCTTCAGGAGGCCAAAGAAACAGGCCAATATAGCCAGAGCCCGCGGTCGACGGGCTTGCAATAGTTCCATATATCGTCGAGATACAGTGGCGAGGAAGACAATCGGCGCTCCGGTGAGCGGTATCTTATGCGCCCAGTTCAACACAGCAACTGCGTGTTGGTATGCTTGCCGGGACTTATCCCGTGTCGAATCATCCGGATCTTGGGCTGCAAGCTCCTCTTCCATGCCATCTAGCAAATTTCCGAAGAAAGTCGAACCTTGGGAACTCATGTTCAGATCGAGTGCCGGCTGTGATTGAATGATAGGCACGACGATCCCGCTGTTCCGCAACCATTGCCAACTTGTCGCGACAATAGTTTTGATTCCCTGGAAAGAGTGAAACCAGGATATCGGCAGTGCATAGCCGCCAGTGCGATCCTTGGTATCGCCTCCATCCTCACGCATGAAAATGCGAGACGCCGTGGACTGGAAGGCGATCAGCGTTGCTGTGAGAAAGAGTGCCTCGGCATTCGTTTCATTGATTCCCTTGCTCAAGCTGGTGCTGTACTCGGACAACGAGGACGCCATATATGCGTGACTAGCCCTTACAAGAGCTTGGTCATGCGGCTGTGCTGACCGCAGATGCAAAGCCGAAACCGCAAGTATAGCATCCGCCAGGAAGTTGGCACCAGTGAAGGCCAGACTAGGCACCGTATCCCTGAAAATGGCCTCGCTCATGGGATCGGCGATAAGCAATGTCTTGCAGGTTATTGTAGTATAGTGATGGAGCAATCGTAGTTCCATCATTCTGTTGTTCTTAGAAGTCGGGCTGATTGGCGGCGGGTCCGGATGTCTATATATCTTCAACGGCGCATTTGCAGCCATTTCCGGGGTCGGAGGCGGTCTGCTGGTGGCGGGACTATCGCAGAAGCTTGGTGACGCTGCGGTCGCGGGGGTATCTGGGATCGCGAGAGACTCGGCCAGCTCGGGGTGTTCGAAGTCGCAGGCGACGCCATGCTTGAGGCAATTGCCGCAGCGCGGGTGGACTTCGTCGCACTGCAAGATGATACGCGGTCAATCATGACATGCCCGACTAGATGTGGCTATACCCAGTGAGTTATACCTTGATCTTCCTGGTCTTGCATCTCCGGCAGCCCGCCCTGGACTTCTTGTGGGACCTCCGTGGCGGCATTATGTGTCGGTTCCCTCTACCTTTGCTTGAATGGGTACGCGATTGGCGACATGTTCGTAACGCTATACGTGGTGAGAAGCTGCCTGCACATCGAAGACAGCACCGGGATTGAAGCGAGAGTGTTAGCCTGCTCCTCAGGCTGCATCGAGACGACAGCACGGAGAACGCGGGACAATGTTACCGTCGTTCTCGTGGCTCAGCCACAATCTTCAGCCAGGGATATGCCTAGGTTCACCCAAGTCTAAACAGGATAGTTGGCATATGATAGGAGAATAGTCTATTTTTCACGCCTTCCGATTGGTGCTTATCTGCGTGGGGTGCATATGCAGATACCCGAGCTGAGCACAACTGTCGGCTATGTGAGATCCGTGTATAGGGTTGCATAAAACTTGTGCAACAATCTGCCGTTCCAACTATACCACTAAACAGCCACCCCCTCCCTTCCCCCCCGGTCAGATTTTACCACTCTAGACTATGTCACATGCCGAATATACAATCCACTAATTGTCCTCTAGTCGAGAGTATAGCGGTGATCTTTACCAATAAGATGCATTACTTCCTCGGGCTGCTGGTTGTGCTAAAATGAGAAACACGGTTTGGCTCTGGGGAGGCGATTGAAGCCACCTTAAAAAACATGGCACGATTTGAGACTGCTCCATCTCCAAGACCCGGCATAGTAAGGGCAAGGGAATTGATTGTGGAGAAGTGAGCATTTTAAGGAAAGGTGAGGCCTCAGTTTAGGATTCCATTAGTCTTTTAGTTTTTTTTTGTCAACCCTAGCATCACGTCAAGAATTCCAAAACGAAATGCGATACGTTTACATCGTGCTGGTATATTCAAAAACGCTATGCTTATTCAGGTGGGTCTATTAAAACCGTATCACCAACCTGCAAAGTGGGATGCTGTGCGTCCCGCGTCAGGGTATCTCTCGATGGCAAGTGGCACATGTGCGTGCCAAAGTACACTTTGCCATCAAATCTTCGGGTCTTCGTGAGCGTCACGAAGGGCTCCTCGCTCTTGGAAGCCGTCTCTTGGTCTATGCAGACCATGTGACATCTCCTACACGAGCCCAGCATCTTGAAGTCTTGCTGCCCTATCCTCAGTGTGGACCAGTGATCTTCAGAGTATGCGAATGATTCCGGTTGAGACGCGGAGGAGCCGATGACAACATTGGCACGGAAGACCTCTGCTGAGACGGGCTTTCCACCCCGGGCAGTGATTTCGCGGTTCAGAGCCTGGAGGCTTGAGAGGTTGATGGCGAGGATTGGACTTTCGTTGGAAAGAAGGATCTTTCGCGGCTCACCTTCAGAGTCAGAGTCGGGGGGTGTCGCCAAACCTTCAAAGCTTCCCGGGAGGGTGCATCTCATCTGTCTGGGTAAACTCTGGTGCTTCTGCAGGTGTGCTTTGGCGTGGCGCATGCTGTTTCCTTGCCCGCCTGGTGGAAACCTAGCTAACGCACATGGTACACCAAGAATGGCGGAGAAGAACTCGTTGACCGCCGTAGAAGTGTATCTGCGTGCAGTAATCTCTTCACCACAAACCCGGGATGTGAGCCGCTTGGCAGCTGAAAGCGGCTCAAGGAACTGCGGATTTGCGGAGAGTGGGATCGAGATATTCGGCTTCGCAAGATCGGGTAGGGCCCCATGGTAGGATACCTGCAGGACACCTTCTGTGAAGTTGATGTCTGGTCGAAGTAGAGCCATGCGTGGATACCGCTTCTGACTCAACGCTTGACCCGTACCTTTGTGCACTAAACACCACTCCCTATCCCACGCCAGACCTTCCGCTCTGACATCCCACTTCACCCCTTTCGGGATGCGATATCCGCCACAACTTTTGATCGGGTAGACCATGATATCCTCCACGTGAATACCACATGTATTCTCGATATCATTGGATGTGTTCTCAGGCAACGTATTGAGGGTATCATCTGTGCAATAGAATTCCTCGATAAACATAGTGAATCTATCCACATCAGATATCGTGCTCATCGCACCCAAGCTGATACGAATGACACCTGTTGGTTTGCCACAGATAACATCGTTCTCATTGCCACAACGGAAACCTGAAGAAAAGTTTCTCTTCATCTCCCATGGCTCTAACCCGAGAGCTGTCGAGATACCTCCTGGGTTGCACAGCCCGCCAGTCCGGATGTGGAACTTTTTGAGGGTAGCTAGCTTTTCGAATTCTGCTAGACTAACCCATGCCCCTTGACTGTTCTGGAGGTTGAATGCCACAACAGGACCCATGGCCCGCGCATGGTTTTGGCATGCTTGCTCGGGCGAGTATATGGTGCACACAGATGCCCCATTTCGGTGCCGTAATCCTGCTAATCGACTCCGCGCTCGTTGAGCTAACAGTGATGTATGTGCGGCAACATCTCGCATTGTTCCGAAAAGCTGAGAATGAACGTCAAGAGCGGCGTCCAGCGCCATGATGCTGTGAATCGGAAGCGTACCATCCTCAAGAGAGTCGTGGAGAGATTGTGTCTTTGAAGCATGCCACTGTTCCTTGACACAGACAACCATATCGACGGTACCGCCACCGAAATATTTCCTGTTCTGGAATGTCGGTGCTGCCTGTCGACGTACAATAAGAGCTCCTAAATCCGGGAACCCAAAAATCTTGTAGAGACTGAAGACTGTAAAGTCAGGGGCAGATGCCGAGTTGCCGAGGTCAAGCGGAGATGTTGCAGCATAAGCTGCGGCATCCAGGAGGGTGTATATATGTCTTGGTGTGCCACTACCATCCCTGCGTATGCGTTCAGACCAGTCCAGCGAAAACCGCTGGCCGTTCATATTAGACTGTGCAGGATATGCGAATAGAGTTGGCTTTTCAGGACTGCCAGGATCACCTGGTAGCGCCTTGCCCTCAATCCAGCCTTCTACAGCTGCATTGTCCAGGCAATGACTATTTCTAGCTTCTTGCCGGACACCCACCAGGCTGGTATGGCAGGCCTGGTGATAAGCAAAGGTAAAGCCCTCAGGAATGGATCGGAACGCCTCCGCGACCAGCTTGATGCCGGCCGTTGCATTTGCTACAAAAACAAGATCAAACTCAGAAGGGTCTGCATTGAAGAACTGGAGCAGCCTGAGTCGGACATCATCGACGCGGGAGGTCGATGCCTGGGAAGATGAAGATGCGGAGTGCGGGTTGCCGTAGAGGTTGGCCGTCATGTCCGCCGCAAACCTGTCTATCAGGGACTTTGCATAGAGCGTCGTCCCGGCATGGTCGAGATATACTTCATCTGCATCGCCAATCAGCTTCAGGGATGCTAAGGGGAAAGGGAAGAAACAGAAAACATGAAGGAAAAAAAATTTGGAAAGCTGCAAGCAGGCTCAGTGGTCGCACCTTTAATCATGGGATACTCGGCTTCTCGGAGTGCCGCGACACGGCTGTTATAAGCCACCGTTCCTCCATCCGTCATCTTGTGATGCTGTCCTCTGGGGACGCCGATGAGCCACTAGCTGGTGTGCACTGCAGTGATATCATGCTTGCTGGGAAAGCGAGGCATGAAAGAGACCGAGGCGCAAGTTGAGCAGAAGTCAGGGTCTGGTGGGATGCTGATAGGGGAATCAACGTCTTTCCGTTAGTGGCGACATTTGATCTGACTTATGCTACCTTGGGCTGGATCCGGGGACGGGGCAGCCAGCGGAGATCGCCTTGTTCCACGACATGAATGCCAGGGGGTCCAAGTCAGGCGCCACAGGGGAGCAGGACAGGACCGAGTGGGCTGGTGGGGTGGGGGTGAAGATGGCCCGAGCTTTGACATTGGCCCGTGCCCGTACGTGCTCGAGGCATTGAGGCGCTGAGGCGCTGAGGCGCTGAGGCTCAAGGCCCCCAGTTGCCCAGCCTCCCAGCCACAGCACTTTACGCGCCCGAAGAGCGACCCGAAAGAACCGGGCGACGCAGCGCGTCTGAACGCGTGGTGGGGCCATGAAGTCGCGTCGCTCCCCGTTTAATTGACCCTTCTTAGCGCTCACAATCTCAACCAGCTACAGTTCTTCCTTGGACATCGTTTCTGGGATTCACGAGCGACAACGGTAACCATGGCTATGACTACCCTTGGGAAGCGGACAAGAAGCTCGAGAGAAGTTGGTAAGTCCGAGTCCGAATAGTCAACCTATAGGCTGGACTCAAGCTCACATAGCCCTCCCAGAGCGGGACCTTCCTGCAAAACGACCGAAACGCCAGACCCGGAGCTTCCAGGTCAACGACGAGAATGCCTATCCGGAGGCAGCCGCCATCGAGAACTTGGACATTCAGGACATAGTCACAGGCGAGATCACCGAGGACACGCCTGCAGAGACGCCTGCCTTTGATGACGACGCCGACCTGCTTCCTAAGAAGCATGCCAAGAGAGGTAGTGGCGGCCGCTCGTCCAAGTCCAATGGCCCTGATCTAACCTTGGCCGAATCAGACTACAACCCGCTCACGCCCTCTACACCTCGGTTCAGGGATGCACTTGCCAAAGCACCTGTTACACCCCGTCATCGGGTTATGTCCGCTGGGAGAGTCTCCAAGCGAATGACACCGCAGACGCCTCTTACACCCGCGGCAGTGCAGACCATCTACCACCATGCCCGCCAACTCTTCTCTCGAAGCGCAGACCCTGGCCAACTCATTGGACGCGATGATGAGCGTGCACAACTTGGTGGTTTCTTGGAGCGGTGCTCGGAGCCCAATCCGAGTGGGTGTCTCTATGTCAGCGGACCGCCGGGGACTGGTAAGAGCGCCATGGTCAACGAGATCACTGAGAAGGCGAGCCAGTCATCGACAGTCAAGAAGGCTTACATCAACTGCATGAGTATCAAGTCATCCAAGGATCTCTATACCACTCTACTAGACCTTCTCTGCAATGAGTCCGAGCTTGCAGAAGCAGACGCTGTCTCGACCCTTCAGAAGCTGTTCATTACCAAGAAGAAGACTTCCGAAGTCTACCTAGTAGTCCTGGACGAGATTGACCACATCCTCACTCTCGACTTGGAAAGCTTGTACCGCGTGTTTGAGTGGTCAATGCAAAAGACATCGCGTCTAGTGTTGGTTGGGATTGCCAACGCTTTGGATCTGACAGACCGCTTTCTTCCTCGACTCAAGTCTCGCAACCTCAAGCCCGAACTCCTACCTTTCCTGCCATATTCGGCAACGCAGATCAAGACCATCATCACTTCACGTCTCAAGAGCCTTGTACCGGAAGGGGCTCCGATACCATTTATCCATCCCGCCGCAATCGAGCTGTGCTCTCGAAAAGTCTCTAGCCAGACAGGCGATTTGCGGAAGGCCTTCGAGATCTGCCGGCGGGCCATTGATCTTGTGGAGCTGGAGACGAAACAGAAGCACGAGGCGGAGATCAAGGAGAAGATGCTTCTCGCGACACCTTCGCGGAAGATTTTGGGCGAGAACAACAACCTCTCGTCACCTTCGAAGCGCTACCCAGAGAAGAGCGCCTCTGCTGCCCTGATGGAGTCGCTCAAGAGCTTGACGATAGAGACCGCCCCGAGAGTTAGCATCGGCCATCTAAACAAGATCACTGCCGCAGCCTTCAGCAATGGCACGAGCCAACGACTCAAGACTCTGAACTTGCAACAGAAGGCGGCGCTGTGCGCTCTCGTGGCATTGGAGAAACGAAACAGGGCTGCGAAGACATCCGTACTGGCAACCCCTTCCAAATCGCAGACCAGTGCGCCTAGCATCAAAATCTTGTACGATACCTATTGTCGATTATGCACTGAAGAGTCCGTGTTACACCCGTTGTCGAGCTCTGAGTTTCGGGAAGTCATGAGCAGCTTAGAGACGCTGTCTCTGATTAGCACGGTGGACGGCAAGACCGGCTCTTTCACCATGGCTCAAACGCCCAGCAAGAGGGGGAAGCGCAGTGCTTTCGGCCCTAATGCCGGGTTGGCTGACGAGAAACGAGTTGCCAGCTCCGTTGGAGAGAAAGAGATGGAGCAGGCTATAGAGGGCATTGGATCTGGCATTCTGCAGAGCATCTTGTCCGGCGAGGCGTTGGATTAGACTCTTTCGAATTTGTGTCAAGCATTTGGAAAACACAGCATGCATGGCGTTCCGGGGAGTGGTTCTGGCATTTACATTACGGCTGGCTCGCATAAAACCCTATAGTAGCTAGGATTGGCCACTTTGCGTCATGAGTAGGCATAATAGAGCAACAGGATGGTGTTGAGATAATACTGATGAAACACACCTTGCTCAACACACGATTTCCAGGTTCCTTTTTCCCTCAAAATAGTATGACCAGGCATTGCCGAAGCCGTGTGATGGTACTCCGCACCGCGCTAACCTAAGAGACATCCAATGTTCTAGTGCGGTTCGTTGGAAGGGAAGCCGCTTTTTCTTTTCCAGGAAAAGAAAGAAGCCTATCTGCACCAAACCGTTTGGACACCCGTTCCCCCCGTTCAAGCCCGTTTTTAAGCGACCACACACCGCGACCGTTAGATTGGCTGACGACCTGACAGCTCGAGGCCACGGCAAAAGCTCCCGGCAATCTGGCGTCATCATTGCTTGGCTAGCTAAGCTTTCACCCGAGCTTGGCGGCATCTCTTGAAGACCTTTCTTGATGAACTCATTTCTCGAATACGTCCTCCGCAGCCGGTACCGAGTCCAACAAATCGCCTCAGTCCCTGAATGTAGCGCTCCCACAACCGAGAATTCTCTTGGTTCAGATAGTTTCGCGGGCCTGATATGCAAGTGATGTCGGCACCGTGTGGCTTGTCGCACCAATCACTGTCTGTGCTTGTTCTCAACCCGTAAGCTACCCGCTAAAGGCTAGACGTAACGAGCTGAGGGCGACCAACATGAGGTGCCCAAGCAGCAAGTTACACAGCAAGCCTCTGTCGCTACCTGCGCACGCGGTGGGACGAAACGTGAAGTCAAAACACATCAAAACAGACCCCGTCTCCCCTTGGGCGCGTCTTTACGTGACTGCGCGACAGTACTGAAGGTCTGATGGCACGAGCGACACCAATCGACAAGTCGCAACTGCTTGCTTGACAGAACGGTTCCACCGATGTTTCGAATCTGTACCCGAGTCAAGGGCGCCGCCAAGCGGATTTGAGCACCCTGGGGCCTGCGCTGTCCTGCCTCGACGTGCAGGACGAAAGCGGAAACAGACCTTGATCGAGGATCTCGCTTGGGCCAACCAAAGTAGGTACCCAAGGCCAACTTAGAGAATCTAATTAAGGTTACAGGCTAGCCATCGAAGCTATCCTGCCGACTGCTCAACCGCCGTGATGAATAATCGGAAAGAGAGCTCCAGTGGGCCGTGAAACCCACCTCGGAAGCGATCTGACTCCTGGAAGCCCACGACGGCTCTCGCGCATGAGTTGTGAGGTACCTATGACAGCCAACCTCACCAAAGGTTGGCCAGGCGCGTATCGTTGTCCAATCCAATAGCCACCCGTGGGCCACACTCGGGCTCGCTCTGTACGTGCATGGGGATCGCACTCTTGAAATGGTCACACACCTGCCCGGGTACTTCAGCACGCGAACCCAGCTGGAAGAGGGAGGAGAGAGAGAGAGAGAGAGACGGAGAGGGAAAAAGAATACAGGGATACTTACCGCCGCGTACGGAGCACTAACTGAGTGCCAGCTCGAATGCGTAGCACAATGCAGTAACTAGCCCAAGTCCGATGTTAGCGGCATGGAACCGGGGGCCATCTGCCGCCCAGTCAAGCCAGTGGACCGCGCGACATTTTGGACGGTTCCTCCCTCAGGCGACACTGCGGCGGGCCCCCCTCGGTCGAGGAGGTGTCGCTCGTCCCCCCCAGGCCCAGGGGGTCCCCCCAGACACAGGCGACGAGTCGAGCTGGTCGAGATCGCCCCCCTCCCCTTTCCCCCCATCGCCCATTCCCACACCCAGACACCCAGCTGTATTCTTAGTTCCTGGGCATCCGTTCATACCAAGACGCCAAGACTAATCCACGGCTTTCAGCACATGCAACTTTCCAAAACCACGCTCAACTCAAAGCCTCAAACGAAGATTCCAAACGTTCCATTGTCGCCATCTGCGCGGCGGCGACCTGCAGACGACAACCTCCGCCGGGCCCCGAGCCAGCCCTGCGCCTGCGCATCGCCTCCCGAGCCTCAAGGCCCGTCCTGGATTCCCAACGACACGCGCCTCCCGTCGTCGAATGCCACGGCCGCTTGGCCAAGCAACACGCGTGGTCCAGTAGGTGACGCCTCACATCACCTCGCATCGCATCGCATCGCATCGCATCTCTACCACTGCCCTGCCCTGCCCTGCCCTATCCTGCCGTGTCGTGTCGTGTCATGCGAGGCACGCACGTCGTCATCGAGCGATATACGTGGAATAGATGGGTGCATCCGGCCGCACCGCCGACCTACCAATCGAAGATGGACCGTCAAAAAGGTCGCTCTTCTCCCTTTTGTCCTTGCCTCTGCGGTCCCGGACTCGAAATCGCAATCTCGCCGAGTTCTACGTGCAGGTGGACGATCCCCACCGCCAGTACTCTGCCGGTGACCATGTGACGGGCTCCGTCATTCTGTCCGTCATCAAACCCGTCCGCATCACCCACCTGACAGTCTGTCTGCATGGCCATGTTCGGGTGTATAAGAACGCGGCGCAGGTGGCTTCCATCAACCCCGCCATTGTCCCCAGCGAGGGGACCAGCAGCACCCGGTACTTCGGCAATGGCCATGCCCAGCTGTTCTCCGATGAGCAGGTACTCTGCGGCGAAGGCCGCCTAGAGGCCAGGCGATGGGAGTTCAAGTTTGACTTGCTGTTTCCGTCCAAAGGCCTTCCTAGTAGTATCGATGTAAGAAACCCACAGCACTCTCAATCTTGTTTTCCATAGGAGCCGGCATGCTCACAGCAGATCTAGTTTGAACGGGGTTCCATATCATATTTGATCACAGCCACTCTCACCCGCCCAACGTCGATAGCGCCAACGACGAGTGCTGAGAGGAAGCTCTCATTCCTAGAGAAAGTAGATGTAGGGCTCGTCCCAGTACCTAGGGAACGGAAAGTCACAATGCATGCCATGCACAAGCGGAGAAGAAAACGGACGGCCGCCACAGCAAATACCCCGACCAAGAATCATTCGACGGGTGTAGAGGGCCATGAGCATGTATCCGACATGGACTCGATGCGGGCAAATGAGACGTCGAATGACAGCTCTGTCAACCTAGAAGAGTCGATGCACCCGCGGCAGGATGACCACCACTTACCGCGGAGTCCGATCCAAAGCGATATCCAGAGCGAAGTCAGTACCGGAAGCGCCGCCAGCCATAACAGCAATAGCGCCCGCGGTGCTGATGGCAGCAACGGAAGTAAAGTGTCGGGGGGAGCTACCGAGGACCGTGAAATCACCGCCACAGTGGAACTATTAAAAGGGGGATGCACACCCGGAGACTTATTGCCTGTGAGGATCAAGGTGGACCACAACCGCCGCATGAAGAGCTTGCATGGGATTATTGTTACCTTTTTTCGTCAGGGCAGGGTCGATTATGCGCCTCCATCAACGCTTTTTACGGATCTGTCAAAGGACGACATTAAGAAACTCGAGCGTGAGGAGTACTACCCGAAATCGAGGACTGGTTTGGGCGGCCTGTCTTTGTCATCAGCAGGGTCTTGTAGCGTATTCCGGAAGGACCTCTCTCAGGCCGTCGCACCGCTCATCATCGATCCGCGGACTCTATCGGCAAATATCACCACGTCTGTTAGGGTACCAGAAGATGTTTTTCCAAGCATAAAAGGCGTCCCTGGAAGTTTAATAACTTTCAAATATCACGTGGAGGTTGTCGTTGATCTTGGCGGGCGCCTTGCTGGTCAATCACAAGGCAGCACACAGCAGCCAACTAGAATGGCATCAATGTCAGTTTCAGCTACTGGTCCTTCACAGGACTCGTACGACAGGCAGCTGAGTAGGCTTGCGAACTGGAATGGCACGATAGTCGACACGGATCACCTGAGACGTGAAAAGGGGGTTATCTCTGTCTCTTTCGAGGTCGTGGTGGGCAACGTAGACACCAACAGATCACGCTCAAAATCGGTTGCACGGCCGGCTCTTAACCTCCAGCCTCCATCTGAGCACGGATACATTGGAGAGTCGCATGACATGAGCTATACATGGCAGGAGAGATATGAGGAAGATGGCGAGCAGAGCGGGTCTAGGTCTCCCTGGAATGCATATGACCAATCGCAGACACAAGCCCCTCCGGGCCCTTCGCCTCAGGTGCCTCGTTATGAACCCCAGGGTCATGGCTCTCAAGCTCCAAGTTACGTACCACCACCTCAGCTTCCAGCCCAAAATGGCTTGTCCGAGAAGGAACGTGTTCGGCAAGCTGAACAGCGCCTTTTACCGAGTCAACCCCCGGCTCAGTCGAGCGAACCTGAAGCTGGTCCCTCGCAACCATCTGCTCCAACACCGAATGGCTTGGCGGCGCAGCCCAGTGATCCCGTCGCAGAGGCCGAGACTTCTCACAGTACGGGCGAGGAACCCTCTGCACCCACCCTGGCAGACCTTTCTTCAGCAACACATACGAATTCAACAGATGATAAGCAAGAGCTGGAGCGGAGGCGTCTTCTTGCAGAAGCAAGCTCGCCGCCAGAAATGCCAGAAGACTATGAGGCTGGCGGTCCGTCCGCTCCAGCTATCAACATTGCTGGGCCCCCCACAAGTGAAGAGCCTTCAGCACCAATGTTTGAAGAGCACGATGCGTATGGATCCCGTGATCCCTACGATAGTATAGCTGGACCATCGACAGCTACCAGTCCGCATGGACATGATCATGGGACAGATGATCTGCCCAGGTATGAGCGATGAATGAATCGATCTCGAAGTGTTTTATATGTATTGGAAAGGCGACATTGCATTGGGTGGTTGGTTTACTTGACTAGTGATGAGCCAATAGTCATTCGTAACCCGCCGCCGCGGGTAGTTTTCTGTATCATAGGTTTAGCGTGCCAACGAGGAATTAGGCAAGGCGAATTGACAAGATTTCTGAGAGTACTCAGGTATTTATACACTGGAACGCATCCATACGGATAGAGCTCGGGTCTGCCGCCTTGGCGCCAAGTATGTGTCATACATACTGTTTCTTGGTGTACTCACCCATATCCCGGGTTCAAACCGTTACGAAATAGGAACTTCGGTAACGGGCTCTAATGAAAACGCCTGGCGCCTCTTCCACCCTTGGATGCTCGATGGGCTCGGGGCCTTACCGGCCAAGACAAGTCTGAAGGTAGAACGTCATCATCGTAAGACGATGAAGTATTCCGGTCCAATATGTACTCCTACGGTAATTTGATAATCCGGTAAGTCGCAAGTCCAGGGCAGGTTCTTTCATCCCGCTGGTCTCCATTTGAACAATCCGTGCTTATTCCCACACCCTGTTAGCTCGTTGTGTCACCAAATCGCACTTCCGTCTGACTGGGCTTAATCCGGATGTTTCCTATTCACCTCTGCACATTCAGAGCGATGCTGATGGATATTCTAAAACTGTCTCTTGATTTTTTATCTTCGAGATAGTGAAAACTGGGCAAAGCTTCTTCCATTAGATGTACGTGTCCATCTGCTGGCCCAAGACCAGATACCTATTATTAACCTCTGTGTCTAAAAATACGAAGAAGCTATCGAGTTTCTTCGTTCCGTGCTTGTTTTATGGGTCCGGCTGCACGGGATGCAACTCATGTCAATCCAGAACAGGGTTTCAAGGCCGCTGATACTCATTGCCTTTATATACTCGGAGCCAAAGCCTGTGTGATTAAAGTCCGTATAGCGCTCGGCTTCAAGATTAAGCACACTGTTGAGCTACCTGGACTAGAGCTGCACTTGTATCCCACTAGGCCTGCATGGAACACCCAATGGTAGCCGGGACGTATTCGATCGAACCATGACGCCGTCATACCGCTCTCACCACAGCTTTTCTTGCGACGGGCTGCTGCTTCACGCAGGCATTGGTGGCAATGCTGCCATCTGCCGGAACTCGCATGCATTCAGCTCTAGTCAGCCCCATTGCCGGAGGCCTTGCAGCGAACCAATCCCTTCGAATGCATCTTTCTTGTGACGGCAGGGTGGCGTCGAGCCGTCAGGTATTGGCGCTTGGGTTTTCAAATCCTGAAAGAAGACGCTCAACTGCGCTACCTCACCACGGAATGCCGCCCTTGCCATTCGGCGACGCCCGCCATCACCACGTTGTGCGCCGTCATGATGGCGGGCGCACAACATGTATTTTCCCACATGATTGAGATGCAGCCGTCGCAGATCTCGAAGAAAGAGATTGTCGGTAGCGACCAGTGTGGACCAGCTCGTGTTAGCATATCTTTTTGAGGGTCTCCAACGCTATGTCTCACTGGGGGACCCAACTCGGGGCATGGAATACGAGGATGACGAAAAGTCGGAGGGAAAACCCGCGCTATCGTATTTATATGCACAATCTCTTTTGCTCTGGGTCCTCACAACAACTGCCACCCTTTGAGAGCATGCAGCCGGCCGCGTCGTCGCCGAAGCGGAGGAGTATGTGCATGCGATGGGTGCTCATCTTCTCCCTCATCGGCAGCTCGTTGCAGACGGCTCTGCAGAAACTTTCTCGTGACAATGAAACGGAGCCTCCGGTCGAGACCGTGTCGCATCCAGTATATCCCGGAATAGCCGCCCAATATGGAAACCCCGGTCTGTTGTCTTTTCTGACTAGGAGGGAGTGCTCTACGAATGGCAGCAATTATTGCTTCGGGAACAACGTCAACTACTGTACCAACTGCGGCAACTGTTGTGAAGGAAACGCTTGCTCTCCAGATGCAACAACTCCGTGCTGCGGTGCGGGATACTGCCAACAGGGAGAGACTTGTCAAGATGGGCAGTGTGTTGCGCCAGTGTAAGGGTTTACATGTTTCTTTCTCGATCTATGCCACTAACTGTGAAAGGGTAACTACAACCATTACGAGCACCATCACATCAACTGTCAGCCATTTCGCCACGGTGCTGGCAAGTGTTGAGGTCAATGTCGACCAGACATCGACGGTGGTTTCGACTGATGTCACAACCGTGTCCAATGTGGATATAGCGACCGATGTCATCTACACAACCACGACAGTCAACCAGAAGCGCAGCCTGCCTTCAGAATCGGCCAGAGTTGACTCTCCCAGAAACCAACTTGACGCGGCTGGTCTTAAGGACGCCCCCGAAGATGACGATGACAGACCAATCAGTCCATTTGCTGCTAGATTTGACCCCGTCCCTTGGGAGCATCTTCATGGATTCGAGAAGAAGGCCATTGCAGCGAGGGCAACAAGTACCCGGACGACTACTGTCACAGTAACACGCACTACGGATGTGACTTCGACTATATCAAGTACGGTTACGATTTCGGCTACGTCTCTTGTACTCGTGACCTCAGTTCAGAGCCGGACAAGGTATGATCCTCAACGAGGCACAAGTCCCCCGGATCTGATCGGCAGAGGCTAACACACACCTGATGTACGCAGTGTTCTGAACGCCAAACAGACCGTGTCATTTACATCTACCATCACTGAAATCCTGAGACCGCCAACCGTCCAGACCCGAACTTCAATAGTGACGGTGCAGGCCTCGGAAACGTCCAGCGCCACCTCCCAGACCTCTAGCAACCTGCCTGGCCCCACGAGCTCCTCGGATGAGCCCACCACGAGCACTTTGCCCACCTCGAAGATCGTAGGCATTGCCGTCGGCACGGGCGTGGGGGCGATCCTGGTGGTCGCGGCGCTGTTCGTGATCTGGCGGCTGCGGCGGCGGCGGCTGCGGTCGCGGGCCGAGCCCTGGTACGCCGGGGTGCCGAGCGAGGGCATGTCGCACACGCCGCAGCTGCCGACGGACCCGTCGACGCCGGCTGTCACGCCGCCGTCGGGCATCGGGCAGTTCACGCGCCTGCCCCGGGCGTCGTACCGGAACTCGGTCCAGAACACGGTGGCGGGGAGCCACGGGCGCAACCACAGCACGAATAGCACGCAGAGCTATGCCGGCAGCGCGGTGATGCGTTAAGGGGGAAAAGGCGAGACGAGACGAGACGACCCGAGCCATATTAGACTGAACATTGCGATAGTACGGATGTTGGAGACAAAGCTCTGGGCACATTGTCACGCGTCGATTTCTGCGATTCTGTGTAAAGATTACTTGGATCTTCTGATGTGCTGGTAAACAGGACAGTTCATCGTATAAGGAAACCAGTTCATAATGTATATAAATAGTGAATAATATACCCAAACGCTTCCTCCAATACTCATTGGAATGGTGAGATCCTAGAGACTGTGGCAGTGCGCATGAGACCCTTATCTTCCCACATAGGCCGTGGCCGTGGCTTTTTGATTCGAATGATTATGGTCCGTTTAAGAAGTGTTGTGTTCATGCGTGTGGTTTTGGCCATGTCGAAGATCCTCCTCCGTCGCCCTGGCGAGAGCCCAATCATTTCTTCTATTGTGCAGCACCACCTTGACTCTACACAAAGGAAAGCGAAATCGGGACAATGGCTACAAAGCTGTTATTGTCGACCCTCGCAGCTATACTAGGGTTGCTTTGTCAAGGGTCCCTTTGAGGTCCTTTAAAGCCTTTATGGCGTTTAATGATATATAAGCAACCCGATCGCCCTCCGAAAGAAGATGTATTAGGTGGTGGACGAATCTCTGTCCGTTTCAAATGTCACGCGCAGGCTATGGACAGTTTCTTCACATTCTCTGATGGAGTTCCGAAGCTCGAGGAGGACCTGTCGGAGTTTGTTGGCGACTGGAGACCGCAGGTGGCGCCGGGCGTCGACCCGGCGAGGTCTACGGAGTTCCTGCGCCCGGTAGGTCCACCTCCATCGGGGTGTTGCCAGCCTCCTCGGGAGCCCTGGCGGCTTGCAGAGCAGTATCAAGGCAGTAGGGATTCTTCAGCCGTGAGATTGCGCCAGATGATGGATATCGTGAGACCGAATCCCTTGTTTGCGCTCCCACTTGAGGCTGCTGGGGCAAATCAGCGGATGATCGAAGAACCTACGCAATTCCGAGATATCGCTAGCTACCTCGATACTGGTCGAGACGAGAACGGCGTCGACGTTGTTATCGAAGCCAACTGCGTCATATGTGGGCGGATGCTGATGCTTCCGGACCGCGTGTCTCAGGACAGATACCCGGATGCAGACTTTGAACATTTGGTCGTCACTCCCTGTGGCCATCTCTTCGGAGCACACTGCCTTGAGAGCCATTTGCAATGTGTGGACGAGATTACCGAAGAGCAAGCACAGCACGATCCCTTCATGGAGTTCAGATTCCGTGACTGTCCCGTCTGCCGGACTGAGCTTGTATACACCGACTGTAAGTGCCGAATACCCCTGCGTCCCTATAACCCGCAGTTCCTGCGCTGGCCACAGGTTCCGCTCACGTTTGCCGAAGGCGGCCGCATCCCACGTGCCTGTAGAGTCTGTACCCTTCAGGAGGCAGAGGACGAAGCTGTAGCGTTTATGAACTTCTTGATGCCGGGTGTACCGCCTCACATGTTGATTGATCCTGATGTCGTGGGCCAGGACCAGATTTCGGCTGCGAGACGGTTAATGCTGGCCCAGCTCAAAGAAGCGGCAAGGTGGGAGCTTAACGCCATCAATCGTTGGTGAGGTGACTGGACTGCATCATACATCCTTTGGTACTTCAGACTGTTTTATGCTGTATTGTAAATTTTGTTAGACCATGCGCCATGCTTACCGCGAGAATCGTGCCGACGTGTTGCTTGCCTCACTGAGGTCTCGATTCCTAGTTTGGTTTTGACTTCATTTCATCTTTTTCCTGAAACAGCGGCTGCTGCCCGGATTACTCGGAGCATGACATGATTGTGAAGTGGGAAGGGCGCGCGTGCAGGTGATAGGAAGAGTCGCGGATCGAGACTCGCAACGGCTTTGACAATCTGTTACTACGGCATGTTTATAGCAATCAGTAAGGATCATACTCAGAGGGGTAATGCCTTATACACCTGTTCTCTTCATTTTGAGGCTAGAAACTATGCACCATGGGGCAATCATCTGGATCGAAGCCACGCATAAATCTCACCAACCCTTCTTTGCAGAGTTTCGATGTCCTAGAAAGCCTAATAATCACCGTTCTAAGCTTTCGCCAGGTGCACTCAGCTGCAGGGGGGCAGCAAGTCAAGATTGGATCCAACAACTGTCCCTTATTATGGGATGCGAGGTCTATCAGCCAAAAGGCTTTTCGTATTGTACAGCTGTATACACATGTATGCTCATCCAGATGCCGAGGCCAAGTATTATACAGATGATTAGAGTACAGTGAGGGAGATGCGCAACTGCGTCTAGCTCTATTTGCTCTTCTTGTCTCTCCTCTTTCCGTGGTTGCGCACTCTGGGGGTGACCACCCACTTGTTCGGCTTATTCTTGGGACGGGTCTTGAAACCACCCTTGGCCTGCATATGGGGGTCAGTGTCATGTCTGAGATCGTCCAAAGCGTGATACATACCGGTGTGCGTCCCCAAGGACTGACAGGGTGCCTGTTACTCTTGGATTTACCACGGCCACCACCGTGAGGGTGATCGACTGGAGCAATGGGTTAGCTGTAGTCTTCTGGATGACATTTCTGATATACATACCTTTGTTCATGGCCACACCACGCACGGTGGGACGAATGTTCAACCATCGACTTCTTCCAGCCTTACCAAGCTGGCGGTATTGGTGATGTACATTGCTGGCCACACCAATGGTGGCACACGCGTCTTTGCTACACTTCCGGACCTCGCCGCTCTGCAGCCTGACAGTAACGTACTTGCCAGTCACCACCTTGACACCATCGTCTCTGGTCTCCTCGTCCTTGGATTCGACCACGGCAAAGGTACCGGCACTCCGGCAGAAGACGGCGCCGCCCTTGGGATGCGACCCTACGTTGAAGATGGGTGTGCCCACGGGGATCAAGTGCAGGGGGAGACAGTTGCCTCGGTGGGCGGTTCTGGCAGCCAGGATACCGGGATCAATGCCACCACCCATACTGTCGAGCAGATCCTGAGGGATTCCAGCTCGATAGCTCTGGACAACATCGCCGGCTCTGGTGCCGTCTGGGGCGACAATGTATGACTTGGTCTGGGTTGCGTCGTGAATCAGGAGAGCGATGTGCGCGCTTCGGCCGGGGTCGTATTCGATGCGCTCAACGGTATGGGGTCCAGCTTCCCAGCGGTGGAAGTCAACAGTTCGTATCCTTCGCTTGGCACCACCTCCGCGATGGCGAATTGTGATCTTTCCGTGGTGATTTCGTCCACCCTTGCCCATACCCTTCTTGGGGATGGTCAGCGGCAGGAACGGCCTGCCCTTCCACAGATGATCATTGATGGGTCGCTTGAGATGTCGCAGACCGGGGGTTCGGGGCTTGTATGTGCGGAGGATGACGGTCGAGCTCTTTTCCTGGGCGGACTGCGGCTTTGCGGCTGTCGCGCTGCTCGGGCTGGGCACCGTGGTGGTGACGGGCTCTATTCTTGTCTGGGCTGTCGCATAGGTTCGGAGCAGTGCGCAAACCGACGAGGTTCTGCAGCTTGCCCAGGCCCTTTGGGAGGGCCTCGTGAGAATCCGTGGTTGCAGCATCATAACATGGCAGCCAGGGATGGTAGCGGAGGCCGTAACTGCAGTGTTGATGGCCTTGTCGAGCTTCAATGGGACCACGGACCTCGTCCCCAGGATCTCGAGATGGCCTGTCAACGAGAAAGTTGAAATTGAAGCTCGAAAGGAGACTAGGTTGTTCCAGTCCGAGGCCACGGTGCCGGGCCTCCTGGCCTTTGCAGGGATTATGTAAGTGCCTTTAGCGGAGCCGGGGCGCTGCCAGCTGGGAATCTCTGCAGTGGACCCTGCGGTCCCCAGTGTAACTACCAGGTAAGTGACCTGTTGTTAACCATCCTGCAATCAGTTTGTGTGTGATGTGATGGCAATAATCAATGTCTTCTGATGTAAACTTTCTGCATTGCAGAACCATGAAATGATGCCGACGGCAAAGTTCTCATTCGACTACTAATAGACGCGAACACAGTTCCCGTGTTCTTGTAGCATTTCCACGAACCCCTGATATGCGGGCGCCCCGTAAAGGAAAACGATTGTGGTATGGCAGTCATCTGACCGGAAGACCCAATGCATCACGGAGAAGGGCATGAAGAATCCTGCGGCCGCGATCGCAACTAGAATGTGGATGGCTCGAATACAGAATAGTTTAGATTCAGTGTTGTTAGCGAGGTCTCTCGAGTAGTTTGTCGCTCAGAAGGGGATTCCGAGACAGGGGTCTACTAACGGTTGCCAAATTCTGGGAGAAATATCGGGGGAAACAAATGCTCGTGCCCATTATGACAACGGTCATCATCAACCAAGAAGCTGCCCAATAATCAGCCACTGCACGAGAACCACACCAAATTTGTTGCTGTTACCTGGCTCCAACCAGGATAGTCCTCTGACGATGGCACACGGCGCGCCAGTGAGGAGTAGGCCAAGAAGCCTGTCAAGGTTGTCAATGATTCAGTAAAACCAAGCACCAAGGTGTAAGAATTGATCATGTACGATGACGAAGGTGTTTGCCCCTACTACTAAGGGTTCTATATCGACCAATCTCCTTTGGTACACCAACCCTTATTCTCTAATCTAAATCCTGTGCAGCTTGAGAATAGAGAGATCATATGAGGGACCAGTAACCGTAAATGTTCCCATCTGTCTATGCATTTTGTAGTCCCCTCAGAGTTTGGGATGGTATTCAGTACAATAACTATCTATTTACCGCCTATTACTCCAGCAAGACCTCAAACTCAAACTCCTTGGTGAGCAGCGCGTACTCATCACGGGTGCGAGGTCCACAGGAACCGCTGCCGAGGCCGTGGTGCGCCGCGTCGAGCCGGAGGACGACGTTCTCCGTTCTCTTCTTGTGCAGCTCGTACGGGTGCTTTGCAGCATCGACATCCGCGACGCGGTAGTGCGAGGCGTTGAAGTCGAACAGCTTCCTGCTCTTCTCAGCTGCGGTGCTCTGCAGATCCGCGAACTGCGCAGTGACCGTCTCTCCGCCCTTGTGGGTGAACTTGACCCAGCGCGTATCCGTCCTGTTTGAGCCCTCCTGTGGGAACTCATAGTCTGTCCAGAGCTGCGATACCTCCGAGACGCTGTATACACCGAGACGCTGAGAGAGCTTCTTGTCGCTATAGCTCTCCCCGGGGCCACGTCCGTACCACGTTACAGGGGCCTTGTCATCTCCTCCAGCCCACTCCTTCGGCAGTTCCATAGTGAATCCGATTCTAGGGAGCGTGCGCGGCAGGTTCTCACCCCTTGGCGTACCCTTTGTTCGAACAGAGAGGGTGCCCGACGCATGGAATGTGTATGTTATATCCAAGTCAATTGACCAGGAGAGAACAGGCGGGCGGAACTGCTGTTTCACGTTGACAGTGAACAGACTGCCGTCATCTGATGAGCCCCACGAGCTCCCTCGAGTATGAGTCTTGGCGAGATGAAGCAGACGCTCCTTCCAGTCCCATCCGTCTTGAGGCGCGTCATTATCCGTAGGGGCCCGCCAAAAGGTCAGATCCGGGCTGCTGGCGAGGAAGGATGCTGACTTCTTGGTCAATGAGCGGAGCTTGCCATCAATTGGCGAGATGGTCCAGGTTGTGCTGTCAGAGGCAATCGTGAGGAGGCTTGGTGTCTCAGTGATGTGAAGCTTGGCTGAAGACTTGGGCTGAATGCTCAGGGGAATAGAGCGCTCGATCAGAGGTATCTCATCAAAGGCAATCTCGAAGCCCTTTGGTAGAGCCAAGGTGTCGGTACGCTGGCGGAAGAACAGCTGGACAATGACTTCGCCCTTGAGCTCAGATGATGGTGACGGAAGAGAGAGATCAGCAGTCTGACCTGGCTGAAGCCCAGACGGTAGCTCAATGGTTCCCGATTGAGAAGTGGCCTTGCCATCGTCGAGTATCTGATAGCTACACTCCACGTCGTCGAGAGTAATGAAGTCGTATCGATTCACAATGGTTGCTTTTTGACTCGTGTAGGAGACAACCTTGATCGGCTCCAGCGCTTTCTTGTACTCAATGAGGCCAGGTGTGGGTGTGTGATCGGAGAACAAGACGCCATCCATGACAAAGTTGGAGTCGTTTGGCACGTCGCCAAAGTCACCACCATACGCATAAAACTCGTCTCCGGTCGTCTCATCTTTGGTCAGAAGACCGTGGTTTGCCCACTCCCAGACGAAGCCTCCCTGGAGCTTTGGGTATTTATAGAACGCATCAACGTATTCCTTGATGTTTCCAGGTCCGTTGCCCATGGCATGTACGTATTCGCACAGCACAAGAGGTTTGGTCTTGCTGTCGTCCTCTCCGAATTTGACAATTTCTTCGACAGGAGGGTACATCCTTGAGTACATGTCCATGGTCTCAGCATGGATGTCAGCTTCGTAGTGGATGGGCCGACTGTCGTCGTAAGACTTGATCCAGTTGTACATGGCCTTGAAGTTTCTTCCAAAGAAGGCTTCATTTCCTAGGGACCAGATAGTGACGCAAGCATGTAGCTGATCACGGTGAACCAGCTGTTGAGCACGATCGACGTAAGCTTTCTCCCATGCTGGGTTGTCGGTAGTCCACTGTGCTGCAGTCTTCCGCGTCAAGAGCTGGCGCTCCCGGAAAGGAAGCGCTCTATCAGCGGCCGAAAGAGCTCCATCCGCTAGGCAAATATTAGTATCTTGACCTATAGTGGAAAATTGTTGAGTGTATTACTCACCAATCGACTCGAAACCATGACACTCGAGATCAGCTTCGTCCATGACCCAGAACTATGATGATTAGCCACAGGCACAGATGGTCAATGTCGGGAATACTTACACCTAACTCATCGGCCAAGTCATATAAGCGGTGGTCACTCGGCTGATGAGACGTTCTGATTGCGTTGATGTTATGTGTCTTCATGAGCATGAGATCGTTCTTGAGGAACTCATACGGGACAGAACGACCAAATTTGGGGTGATGCTCATGGCGGTTAGCACCCTTGAGAACAAGGCGCTTACCATTGACCTTGATCAGGCCATCTTTCATCTCTACCTGCTTGAACCCGATGCGGTGAGCAATGAAGCTGGCGTCGTCAAGTGAGACCAGGAGGTGATAGAGTGTTGGAGTTTCAGCCGTCCATTTGGATGGGTTCTCGATAGGGAACGAGAAGTCGGCTGAACCCCCTGAAACAGCTTTCGTGCCGCTTGCCACCGTTGCGCTCTTCTTGGGGTCGAAGAGTTCGACTTTTAGGTTGCCAGAACCGGTGACATCTACGCGGAGCTTGAACTCGGCGTTCAAGTACTGGCTGTCCAGCTTTGTCTGGACGAAAAGATTTTCCACCCGTGACTTGGCCGGGAATCCAAGGAGGTGTACATCCCGATAGATTCCACTCATTCGCCATTGATCCTATAGCGTATTAGTACAATTGCAGATCACCCCAAGAGAATCTCGTAAGAAAGAGGCAGACAAGAAGTTTCGATGAAACGCGCCATTTGCATAGATTTGAGCTGGTGTTCACGAAACAGAGAGCAACGTACCTGATCTTCAATGTAAGTGGCGTCAGACCACTGATAAACCCTCACAGCAACGGTATTCTCGCCATTCTCGTTCACGATGCTAGTAATATCGAACTCGGAGGGATTTCTCGATCCCTGGTGGTAGCCAACCTCTTTGCCATTGACCCAAACATGGAATGCCGAGTCCACGCCCTCGAATCTTAGTCTGAGCTGGGACCCCCGGAGGTGCTCAGGAACTGTGAACTTCTTCACGTAGGACCCAGTCTCGTTATCGTCAAAAGGCACGTTTGGTGGGTCAACAGGGATGGGGAAGTTGACGTTGGTGTAGTGGGGCCCCTTTCCGTAGCCATTGAGCTGCCACATGCTCGGAACCGTCAGGTTGTCCCATTTCGTTGTGTCGAATGATGGGTCTTCGAATCCCTCTGGTGCCTCAAATGGGTTCTTGGAGTGGCTAAACTTCCAGACGCCCGAGAGGGAGTGAATTCGAGACTTGGAGCTGTCGTAGGACAAGGCATCCTTGGCAGAGTTATAGACGTAGAAGTTCGTACGTGGGGGAAGTGTGTTCTTGTGCAGAATATCTAGGTTGTTCCAGTCTGGCTGGCCAGCGGGATGAACTTGGGTCGAAGCCATGGTCACTAGGTCAAAGTGTCCTGCCTCACAGAATATTGAGAGACCGAAAGCGACACCAGTCTCGAGGGCAGGAGTTCCCAGCTTTATGTTTCCAACCCCAAGGCATACTCCGCGCTCCGATGCGGGCCGGAGGGTGGGTTAGTAACCCCACAATGCAGATGAATGAGGAGAACAGCTCGGGCATCTGGGAAGTTTTCCGACGACTGTGGGGTTCTTGGCTTGGACTTTAGGCCGGTGTACAAGATAGTCCATCCTCGAAGGCGCGCTTCTTTGGCACTGCACTACCAAAATCAATTTGACGTCGTGGCGCAATCCAGCAACGGCCGTTGCCTGATTCGCAAGTGTATAAGTCATGCAAGCCCCTGGACCCTTCTTCGAATCAAGATCTAGAACCACCTGCCACTGCACTTGTCGCTGCCCCTAATGAGGGACAGCAAACGCACGATTTGGTTACTTGGTATAAGCAGAACGGCCTATGACCGAATCATATTGCACGTAATAGCTAGCTATGAGCCTATGATGCATGATTTAGTCAAAGGGAATTCTGCGCAATGTCTCGCCAGCGCCTCGCTTCCTCATCTCTTGGGAGGCAGCAAGACTGCTGGGGACTTTGATACCGCAACAGTCTCCCCAAGAGTTCAGTTGGTGAAGATGCTTGACGCCATCGTGCTCAACCATCACTGCACCGCCCTCGGCCTCATCTTCTTCTCGAGACACGCCCGCTTCCTCCTCTGTGCTCATTCCGTCGACAGCAGGCACGAGTGAACCGAATAGGAAGTGTTGCATAACAGGCAGCTTTCTAAGGACCTCGGCCACGAACATCTTCCTCATACCACCTTCCACCTTATCCCAGTTCTTTGCAGAGGATATATCATCTAGCATGGGACTATGCCACCTTAAACCCTTGACGGTCTTTGTGCTGTTCACAAATTCGACTTGCCCAAGGTACATGAAGTCGTGGCCGAATTCTTCAAGGGTCAACTGCTGGTGTATAGCTAAGGGCGTGATGAAAGAGTGGTGGAGAAGTTGACTGGCTCCGAACAGGAACGGCAGAAACTGGTAATCATCTAGTCCCCAAACACCATGAGAGCCAGCCGGCTCCAGATAATAAGTCGATTGTATGGTGCGCATCAACGTTAGATAACGAACGAAGACCTTCAGAACCAGAGCCTTGAAATCGGGCTTCTTCACCACCTGCAGCTGATAGAGACAGAGGAGCCAGATCATGAAGTTCAGCTCATGGCCAGAGCCATAGTCGATCCGAGTGCGGTTGCCAAATGACTGTAGAAGGTACGTCTCTACTTCTGAGACAGCGTCCGCCGAGGTGATACCAAGTTTCTGATGCCACGAAGAGCTGGCACTCTTCGTCTTGTCAAGAAAGGTGCGGAAGAGTTTGTTGCCAAACCGAGAGCCGCCAGAGTCGTCGGGTGGCGTTGCTAGAACAAGTGCTTCTGCCTCATCCAGAAGACCAAGAATGGCCTTGACCGAGGGGCTCAAGTCATCATCGTTGACTTTTGAGATGGGGGTGTCAACGACGGCATCAGACAGGCCGAATATGAAGGCCAAGATGAGGCTATACGCTGGCGAAGACAGGAAAAGCTCATGGTCCTTGAGAGATAATATCCTCCTGGAGGGCACCTGGTGAGATACTGACGATGCCTCGGGCGGTGGAGGCAATGCCGGGGTTTCCGGCGGAGGAACCGGGTTCGAGGCCGGAGCACGCCGACGTCTGGGCTCCAGCTTGGGGAGCCTGTCCCTGAGATTGGGGATGGTCGAAGGGGGCGGGTGTGTGGGCTGCTCTGCTGCCATGACGACTCGTCCTGTCGCTTCGTATGCGCGTGGGGTGGAGTTTGGGTATGTATTATGTTGGAGAGCGGAAATCAATGCGGCGCTCCTGGGTTCGAGAAGACGCCTGGGAGGAAAAGAGTGCTGCTTGACGCTTGGCCTTTGCCCCTCGCTGGCCCCTCGCTGGCCCCTCGCTGGGCGCCTCAAAGTGCCCCGCGGTTGGGAAACAGTGGCCGCGACTGTTGAAAAGCACGCTAGGCGCTGGGCTTGACGTAGCGGCTCCGAGCTCGACTTCAGTGGGCTCAAATTTTTGTCAGCCAAACGGCCAACAGCAAGCAAACATACCCATCCGACGACAGAAGCCTCATTCACCCACGGCGAGCTCCCGTTTGGCCACCCCAACACGACCATGGCGAGTCACGACCCTGAAGCACGCCTGTCGCACCTGCAGAGCGCAGACGGCTCTGCGACGTTCTCCCACGCTGGCTACACCGTGGTTGGCGCTGTCAATGGCCCGATCGAGGTGCAGAGACGGGACGAACTGCCTGAGGAGGCCGTCGTCGACGTGATCGTACGACCCGCCGCAGGGGTTGGAGGTACGATTATGGCACCATGCATCCTACAGACTACTTGAAGCTAAACTAACTTAATGAACCCTCTATATAGGAACCAGAGAACGACATCTCGAATCTCTGCTGCAGTCAACCCTCCGCCAAATCATTCTCATCAACAACTTCCCACGTACCTTGATCCAGGTCACCCTGCAGGTGACCGTGTCCCCGGAAAACGAATATGTAAACGCCAAGCTTTCTCAGGCCGCTACGGTATGCTCCTTACTGTCTACTATACGACCTTGGTCTTTGTCTTACTAATATGTGCTTTGGCCGACAAGAACCTCCCCATCCTGCCTACCCTGATCCAGACTGCATTGCTTGCACTGCTCTCAGCAGCTATCCCCCTGACAGCTACTGTAACGGCGGCAGTCCTTGCCATTGTGGCCGATGATGGAGCGAGCAGAATCATTGTAGACCCCACGGCGCGGGAGATTCAGGTTTCACGGTCGCTGCATGTCTTTGCCTTCACTTCTCGTGACGAACTTCTGCTCAACGAGAGCGAAGGCGAATTTACCATGCAGGAATGGGACAATGCTTTTGCAACCGCTCAGCGCCAATGTTGTCCGGCTCCTACGTCGGATGATGTCGACATGGAAGGCGGCTCTCAAGCTGATCTGAAGAACTTCACTCGCTCGACCTTGGAAACGAAGACTGCCTCTGATTTGTATTGGAAGTAGATGTGCCACACCTGGACGACTCGCTGCACCCCGCTGGTCTCTGTAGCTGATGGAGTACATCATCTATTCTTCCGGTGGGACCAGACAGGACGTCTTGCCAGAAGCGCAGCGGAATGATGGAGCAGTCGCACCAACAGGGTACGAGGCAGCGAGGCTGAAGAGCAGCGGGAGCGGGAGCGATCGGTTTGGCACTCGGACGGCAGCAAGGCTCCCCACTAATCGGACGATTTTCTCGCGCTTTGTGGCCTCATGGAGGACGATCAACAAGTCCCCGACTATGCATGCAAAGGGCGATCATAAGCGCTCGCGCATCATGTTTACGAGGAGCTTTTCGACCGTGAGTGGAGCGAAGCTCAGTTCTCAGCGGGAAAAGCGGCACCGAGGCTATAATGTTTAGCAACGCAATCCCTATAACCAACGAATAGGCATTGTGATGCTGAGAAGGTTCTGCCACAAGCTTACGTTTGAGTATGCCAAGGTGGATTAAGGCGGTGTTTCATCTCCATCTCACACCATCCTTGAGATTGGCGAGGGAACAGAGTCGTCGTGTTCATAGCAGATCTTCAACGAGGAATGCCCGCTGTCCAGCAAACAGAATCCCTTCAGGAGGGCAATGTCCTATTATCGATCGTCCAAGGGTAGTGAAGCACACCCATGGAGGGAGGGATGATAAGGCTGCTGACTCCATAGCTTTCCAGCTCAACCAAGCAACTGCGTTCACTGGTAGGATTGGCGGCTAGCCGAACGAGGACGAGAAGAAAAATCCGGCTTAGCATCCACACACGCTGTGTGATCCTCACAGGGGAAGACGTTTTCTCGAAAATAATAGAGAAATCCAATTCGTTGTGAAATCAGTGCTTCAAACATTACAGGATCATGCGGCAGCTTGCCCCCGAAGAAAAAAGTGGACTTCCAGGAGGCTCAAGCCTCAAGGAGCTTTTGCGAAACTGCACGGCCTTGGCGCGAGTATGCACAGCGGGTCCTCCAGGAGACCTGTGACTTGAGACGACATGCCACGCGCTAGCCTGCCCCGAGGCCTGGGCTCGCCTGCAAATGACCCTTGCTGGCGGCGCAAGATGAGACCGACTGCGACCGACGGGAATCCTCTTCCAGTTGTCGCTGACACAGGGAAAGGGAAGGGGAGCATCACGATGCATTCGCGACCCAAGGGACGCCCCACCGCGCTGCCACTCGAGCACGGGTTACGGCTTGCGGCAACAGGCGAGTATGGAGCTCCCGTCGACGGTAGGTCCCCAGCGGCTGCATGTCCGATGTCCAGAGTTGAAGGTATTTAGATGCCCGCGCTGTTCCATCGCACAACCCGTTTTCCTCGGTGCCCTAGTCTTGTGTAGACCCGTCGTTAGTCTCGTCCTATTTGCGCGTGCGAAGGCAGCGAAGCAGAGCTCCGGTAGTTCTCGCAATTACCTATTGTCTTTGCCTCCCTGTTTGGTCCTTTTTCACCTTTTCTTTCTGCCTGCTCTCCTGCTCAGGTTCTTTGTTGTTCGCCCCTCGCTTTCTGGCTTGATATACGTTCCACAGCTTTGATAGCACTTTTCTCCAAACACACCTTCTAATAGGCAGATCTCCGAGATCTCGGCTGCATCGCATTGCATCGCATTTCTTCACCTACAGATCGCGAACGACTCCTCGGCATCATATCTTTCGTTCTACAGAATTCCGCTCTGGATTCCGTGGCCCTTTTCTTGTTTCGTCCAGCATATACATCTTGCATCTAGAGAGCTATAGAAACGATACCCACATAGACGGCAGCTCTTAGATTTCTTTCTCCTTTTAGTCGCTTGCAAATACCCCGGACCCAGCTTTCGAACCTTCGACAGACTCGACTTTAGTTCCGGATAATAATCACAGCCAATCTCCATTGGGGATTCGCAACCGATCAGTCGCACCGAACCCCGCAATCTCGCACTCGGCTGCAGTCATCAATATCGCATCACGCTTCTGTCGTGGCTGTTACACGAGAGCGATCCTGTCGTGTAAGTCTGTTCTGCACGTGCCTGTTCTTCTGGTATGCCCGGCGGGCATTCCCACTGGCTGGTCTGGGTCGAGAGTTGGCAAATGACGAGGTGGAACTGACAGTGACCAGTGCCTGTTCCTAAAGTCCGAACTGCAGATCGAGACAGATCCTGCAAGACATTACGTGGATACCACCGCTCGGGGTTCTCGACAGCCAACTTGTAGAGCGCTCTGCGGAACGGCGGATAGGTACCTCGTGTGGCAAGCATAGAACGGACTTGGATCCAAACCCCGACATTGCGGACTAGCGTGACCCAGGCGGCCCTCAGCGCAATCGATCCCGTTACCAGAAGCGTTGTGCTAGAGAGTTCTAGCACCCATAGGATCCCTGCAGTGCTACCCAAAGTTTCGCACTTTACCTCAAATCGCGGACCAAATGGCGGGTTTAGTGACCTCGCCAACGGCGATCCACCCTGCCCTCAGCGATCCGACCACGGGCGGGGCAACCGTCAACTCCGACGGGCGCCTCCCTCACAGGAGGTCAGCGTCCATTTCAGCATATCCGCCCGGAACTTGGAACTCTACCACCACAAACCACCTGCCCCCGCTGCCTGCTCTTGTGCCCGAAAAGTCTCACCAACCAAGCGATGCCGAGCGGGACGGCGTCCTGCCCGAGCAGTCTGCTTTAGGCGTGACCAGTCCCGTCTCAGCCAGGGACATCCAACTGCCGCCCCGGGGCTACGGTCACCGCAAGAACGCGCTGTCCATCGAGTCTGTCCCGCGACAGACTATTATGAAAGCGCTGGCTTCTGTGGCCCGAAACAACAAGCCCGAAGCTCTGTCCCTGCCCGGTATGCTGTCTGCACATGCCGGCGCCGACGGCCGCCCTGGCTCCTCGTCGTCGCAGCGACTCTCCAATGCTCTCAATGAGCTCGCCAATCGGAACACGCCCACGACTGCATTCCCGTCGCTGCAGTCCCCTTGCTTCTACCACCAGCGCTTCGACGACGCAGTGGACATCGACAAGGTGCTGGAGGAGATCAAGAACGATGATTGGATGTCCCACTCCCGTCTGGTGCAGACGGCCACTGGCGTGCGCGAGGTTTCCAAGCAGCTTCAGCGCAGGCCCATCCGGCGAGCTGTGCGCAACGTCATGATTGTGACCAAGGCTCGTGACAATGAGCTGGTACTTCTTACCCGGGAGCTGACCATGTGGCTCCTGCGAACGCCCCGCTACGGTTCCGATGTTGGCGTCAATGTCTATGTCGACGCCAAGCTTCGAAACTCTAAGCGCTTCGGCGCTGCGAGCATCATTGAAGACGATTCCCGCTTTGGATCCATGCTGCGATATTGGTCCCCGGATCTTTGCTGGAGCCAACCCGAGAAGTTTGATCTGGTCGTGACCCTTGGAGGTGACGGCACTGTGCTCTTCACCTCGTGGCTCTTCCAGAGGATCGTACCACCCGTCCTGTCCTTCAGTCTGGGCAGTCTGGGATTCTTGACCAGTTTCGAGTTTGAGAAGTATAAGCAGCAGTTGAACCGCATCATGGGCGACGAGGGCATGCGCGTCAACCTTCGCATGCGATTCACCTGCACGGTCTACAGAAACGGCACCTCCGGGAATGAAATGGAAGAAGGGGAGCAGTTCGAAGTGCTCAATGAGCTCGTCATCGACCGTGGCCCGTCCCCCTACGTGTCCAACCTCGAGCTGTACGGCGACAACGAGCTCTTGACGGTCGTCCAAGCCGATGGCTGCATCTTCTCGACACCCACGGGATCCACAGCTTACTCACTATCAGCCGGAGGCTCTCTGGTGCACCCGGATCTCCCGGCAATCCTACTTACACCTATCTGCCCGCACACCTTGTCCTTCCGACCGATGGTCCTAAGTGACACTATGCTGCTGCGGGTCTCCATTCCGAGAAACTCCCGTGCTACCGCCTACTGCGCTTTTGACGGCAAGGGTCGTCTCGAGCTGAAGCAAGGCGACCACGTCACCATCACCGCGTCACAGTACCCCTTCCCAACCGTCATGTGCACTGGTACAGAATGGTTCGACAGTGTGTCCCGCACCTTGCAGTGGAACACCCGAGCTGCAACCCAGAAGGGCTTTGAGAATCAGAAGACTGGCGACGGCAGTGAGACGTCGAAGGAGGACGACGAGCCCGAGTGGGACATTGACACCGACTCGGCATGCTACGCCAGCGAGGAGGGCAGCATCAGCGCCAGCCCCCTAAGAAGACAGATGAGCCTCTTGGGCATGTAGAGATCTCGCGATCACAGATGCGACTTATTAGACATTTTTAGACGATGGGCCCTACATAAGCCACATCTTTAGAGAAGACAGGAACGCGAGACGGGACCAAACATCTTCATGCCGCAGGGTCGGAAAGCGTCCGTACTCGACGAGGCTTTTTTTTGCCAACTTTTCTTGTCCCATGCACGGAGTACGGGCGCAGGATTTTTGCTCACACACACATTTGTTATCTTCCTTCTCATCATTCGTTACTTCAGGCTTTGCAGAGGTCTTGGGTAATGAGCCGTGGTGTGTCGCTGTCGGCCAAGACAGACAGGCGGGATAACACTCCTTCACACAGAAATCCAATAAAGCAAAAAAGGGAAATCAACCAGGCATCCCAGTCCAGTAGTTTACGTATCCATCGCTTCGTGAATGTGTTCCAATGGTGACTTGCTATGTGCGTGCTTGTTCTCCACCCGAGTCTGCTGCAGCTCCTTAGTGAGGCTGAACTCGAAACCCGCGACGGCTACCTCTGACGCCCGCAACCCACGCCGGGTTTGAAACAAACCTTAAGCGTGATATTACACACTATATGCCCGTGGTCGGGATAGGCCAACTGCGAAACACCAGGGAAAGACGGCCTAGGACCAGGCACTTATTCGGGGATAGCTTCGTGACATTCGGGGCGAGGGTGTCTCTAAGTCATGGCAAGAGTCTAGCAGTCAAGTGGCCCATGATCAAACAATAACGCAATATCCAGGTACTTCGGAACTGTCGTGGTCCTTTCATAGTATTACTACCTTGCATGTTTCCCCAGCTTTTGACAAGTGCCGTGCGAGCGAGCCCGTCTCGCTCAAGCACAATACCTTATGCAAACATGTGCCCTTTCTCACTTCTCCCATTTTCCAATGCCTGCTCTGCCAAAACGCCCTATGCCGAGGTCTGCTAATGACCTCTCCTGCCTAGTACTCCAACATGATGGGTAAGCATACCCTACATTCAGATTTGGGTTGGTCCAGAAGCCCTATAATTCTTCCACAGCGAGTATTCCAACATGCTATTTCCTTCAACTTGCGACATTCGTATTCCCAGCGGCAGCACCAAGTGGCGCTGGTGTCTAGGGCGTCTGTTGTTTCGACGACAGTAGGTTGGCTTGGTTCGCCAGCCTACGACAGCAGTTAGACCCAAACCACGGTACGTGCCTGTGTTCGTGAGTTGCTGCAGCAGCGTTCGGCTGAGACCCCTACGTCTCATACGCAATAGTCCAACAATTACGTAGCTCGGCTCGGATCTCATCATCGCCAATTGCCCTGGCTTAGAGCAAGCAAACCAGCGACGCAGTCCACATCGCCCTTTTTGCTCGGGCTAACCTCGCCGCGCATGAACCGCTCGACCTCGTCGTCGCTCCTCTTGCGTCTCTTGGCAGAGACGCCAGCGTCGTCTTGTTCATCGCCATCTTCGAAGATTGACACCGAAGTATCGGCAGCGTACTTGCCGCCCTTGAGCCGTGGTACAGGCGCAGTGTTGGCCCGACTGCCTAGGCCCTGCCGCTTCCCGCCGTTCAGTCCGTTCGACTCGCCCAAGACTCGCGAGCCAATACGGCGGGGGTTTGTCCCGGCTCCGTGTGCCTTTGGCAACGACGAGGGGGCAGGCGCAGCAATACTCGGTAATGGACGGCGCCGCGCGGTCGAGCCTCCATCTTCATCCGGGCTCCAGTTTTCTTTGTCCGAGTCACCCGATGGAGATAAGACAACCGAGAGACCATGCTTGAGCTTCTTCTTCTCCGGCTCGAACTCATCCTCGTCAATATCTCTTTCACGCTGAGAGGAGGGCAGGCTCTGTAGTCGGGCGACACTGCTCGTAGTTCGAGCGAGCTTCGATTTCTTGGATGGGTCACGGCGGCTAGCCGGTGCGTTACGCTTGCTACTGTTTGGCCGAAGGACATTGCTACTGTTGCCAGATGCATGAGCGTGCACCAAGCTGCTGAGACTGCCGGTGCTGCTGCTAGACCGCAGCAGTGAAATGGCTGCGATTGCTGAGCCCGAAGACTCGCTCTCGGCCAGCTTGGTCAGCTCATCGCGTGTCTCGGCCTCGCAGCAGGATTCCCATGCCGACACATCTCGCGAGCGGCCTCGCGTCAGCTGTGGGGGCAGATTTGCGGTCAGGGATGAGATAGGAGGAAGAGTTATGCCTGGAAGAGCACTTCGGCTCCGCTGCAAGGTCCGGGGAGCTCGGACAGGTGGTAGAGTCGCTGCCTCGAGGGGCAACTGCGGTTGAGGTGCAGGCCTGGGTGGAGACTGCAGAGAGGAAACAAGCTCGGCCTTGCCTTCAAGAGAGAGGGACAGGCGGAACTTGGATGAGGAGTTTGTGGTGGGAAGTGGCAAGATAGGTGATGGCGGAGTGTTTGTAGCAGACTGTGCTGCTCCGGGGAAAGAATCCACTCTACGCCGTTGTTAGTATTTTGTGAGATCAACATGAACGTAGTAAGAGACACGAACCTCATGGAAGTATCTACCGGCCGCTCGATGGATGAGGGGGCGGAAAACGACGTGGATGTATTCCAGCGGTTAGATAGGTAGCCAACAGAGCTTGGGAGTGACTGAGATAGTGATTGAAGCTCGCCGGCCACCGTGCCATTCATGGAAGAAGGCGGCGGCGTGGGAGTCATGATAGTAGCCGTCGGGGCCGATGCTCTACGTTCCTGCTTGAGCAACTCCGGCGCGGACGAGGCAGCTCTCGGTGGAGACTGCGACCACTCTTGCGAGGAGGCGGCATTGGCCGGGCTGGGAGATCTCTGGTTCCCCTCCGCAGGACGCGTCGGTTCGACCGCGTCTCCACCGTTTCCAGCACCGAAAGAGGCCGGATCGGAGGACAGCACATGTAGGCCGCCGCCATATCTGAATGCCGCGATCTCCTGCGGCGAAAGTGGCCGTGACTTTCGACGGTCATTCTGGCGACGGTTCTGGAACCAAATCTACAATGCACGACGAGCATCAGCACCAATTGACCAGCTGGGCACGTGCAGGTGCTCCACCAAGTGCTGTACTGACCTGTACTTCCTTCTCATTGAGCGAGACGCGCTTCACCAGGTCCAGACGCACTGCCTTGTCGGGCTTGGGGTTCGCATTATACGCAGCTTCGAGGATGGCTTTGTCTTGGGTACTGCAGGGTAACAAAGCAATTGTCAACTTCACACACAATCTAGGGAACAATACGAGATGTCTCGGCAGGGCCGTGTCCTTACGTGGTCCTCTTCCGCTTTCCCTTGGGGTGCTTCTCGGTGTCGGCCTGTGCAGGGTAGCCCGACTCCAATTGGAAGGAGGATTCGAGGGAAAGGCACGACGTGTCCGGGTCGCTGTTCTGGGAGCTTCGAAAGCTGGTGTCTTGACTTGCCGGCTGGCTGTCGTGGGCAGCACCCGAGGCGGGAGACGAGACCGGGGAGGGAACGTGGGAGGACATGCTGGGCGGACGACGTGTCTATAGATGCATTATCCAGGGCGAGGGTGGGCGCGGCAGAAACGAGTGGACAGTCCCTCTGTTGCAGGCAGACGACGACAACAAGACGGCCGAGGTGTAGTCCTCGTTGTGACGTCGAGAAACGGGGGACGGCAAGGCGGGCAGCAGGAGAGCAGGAGGAGGAACGAGGAGGGACGAGGGCCGTTCCGGGGTCTGGCAGCTATGTATGTATGTATGGTATGGCGGGACCCGGCGAAGCGTGTCGTTGTAAATGAGCAGATCGCGTTGGAGGTTTTAGTGGTCGGCCACTGCCCCCCCAGCACCCACGACCCACGAGCACCACAGAGCCACGGCGAGAACCCCTGCTCCTGCCAGCACCCGCGTCGCCGACGGGCCGGCCAATCACAGCGCGCCAATGGGGGCCGCCTCTTCCCCAAACGGCAATTTGTGTACAAACCCCGGCCAGTCGCGCTTTCCCATCACCAAAGTGACGCACAACATCACTTTAAACCCCAGACCCACCGCCGCCGCCGCCCCTTCGAAAGCAGATGGAAGCCTCACTCTTCGCATTCTTGCCGTTGCCATGAGGCCGCCGCCGCCGAAATTAGCTTGGCATACATTTAATTAAAGCAAGCCTCTATTCCCATACATATACATATTACTGGAACCCCAGGTGGCGCACTTCTGCCTGTGTTGACTGGAACTGACCTGATCTGAGCTCTCCTCTCCTCTTGATGGTGCATGAAGCAATGGCCACATTCAATCGCCAGGCCGTGACCACACCAATTTGACGTCAATGCAGCACGCGCTCTGCATCTCGAGCAGCTGGTTGGTGATCATACGTCTGAAGCCATCATAGCTCGTCGCAAAACCGCGTCGAATCTCAGCTGGTCGGACGCAACGTTGGCGTATTTGAGACCGCGATAGCGTCGAAAATGGCACTCAGCTCAACGACGCAAAATGAGCACACACACACTTGCTTTTTTCTGCCGCACTGCAAGACGTTGTCGCCACAGCGTCGGGTGCGCTGAGGGCTCGAGATTGTTCTGGATCACTTGGCAGGTTGCTAAAGGTTTGGACACACTCGCTCAACCCTGACCTGGGACATCCTTTTGAAACCCTTCGGGGGGGTATGTACCCCGCTGAATTATATGCATTGACAGGCTGTTCCCAAGCAACGTTGACTTTTCATATCTCGAGGGATAGAGCATTTTGGAGTAGCAGGGAAGCATCGCGGTTGAGGCTCACTACGAAGCAGCAGACGTCCGAGCCGTATGGGCTGGAAGGGGTTGGATCCCACCGCCAACAGACTGCATCCTGCTCGTCCACCGCAAGATTTGCAGCAAAGCGGCTAGAGCTGTCTCTAGATTGAAGTACGCGTCTTGACGCAGCCCGCAGGAGCCACGGATAATACTCCCATTAATAATCCCAAGTTGGAGGTGCCTGAATGTCGCCTTGGTTTAAGTCGACCTCTGAAGTTGGGAACCCACGTGACTTACTGACCAATACAATGCATAAACATGGTAACGAAAAATTCATCACAAATGCACTGCACAGCTATAACCTGTGCCTTATCAACGTCGAGCGTCTTTTAATAGTCTCGATTCATAGTCGGTCTCCGGGTGATCCATATATCTATATATTGACGAAAATCCCCTCGCTGAACTCCGGGCCATTTCCCCCATATCGTGAAACCAGTCCATCGTGACGACAATGCCCTTACAAACCAGCCAGCACGCTCTGGATGCCCACGCTCCTATAATCCTCACGGTTGCTCACAAACGTCTTGAAGTCGGCCTTGACCAGCCTCTTCCCACCGCCACTGGGCCCGGAAGCTAGATTCCTGCTGCGCTCCCTCAGGGCCTCGGGCCCGATGATGAAGAGGTAGCCGATCTCGGTGAGGAGGTCGACCGCACCCTCTGTCTCCTTGCTGATGTCCCATTCTCCCTTGAGCGTGGAGACATACTTGGCGATATCCTTGGTGACCATCAGGCCGCCTGCCGCATTCACTTTGAATTTCTTGAAATGCTCGAGGAGGAGACGTTGCACCGCCACGGCGAGTTCCGTGCTGAATGCTTGATGGTTGGCGCCATCGACAGCCTGGTTTATCAGCCTCGCCGTGCGGGCGAGAAAGTTACAGATCGTGTCGCACGTCGGCGTCTGTAGGTTCTCCAGCACACTGTCGTCCTTTGGCAGATAATCGATCTTCTTTTGATTCGCCAGCGATTTGGCGATCCAATTCGTCAGGACGTCGAGAGTCGACTTCAGGATGCTGTTGGTCTTCTTCTCGATCGACTCGATGCCCATCTTGGTCTGGGCCTCCATGCTCCGACGAACAGTAGTGTTGGACTCGGCAAGGCGGACAAGAACCGTCGTTATGAATCGAGACATGATGCTGGTGATGGTGACTGCGGGTCGAATCAAGGGCATATAACTCAGGTCGGGCTCAATCTTGACGTTCTCTTGGGCTGAGGCCTTTTCGAGAGCTGCGTCCAGGCCGGTTTCGATATATACTTGACCCATGTTCGTCATGAGCAGGTTGAGTAGAATGGCCACGTCCTTCGGTGTCTCATTCACACTCCCCAGTTCAAGTGTGCGTCGAACACTTTCTGCAAGCCAGCGCATCATACGTTTAGCATTGGCGGTGCTGAGTACACCATCTTCTTCCGAGACTTCGATCTCGTTCTTGTTCTTGTCCGTGTCTGACACGCCAGCCACCCTCAACATCATAGTCTTCTGTGTTGGAGTCAGGTCAGACGACTCCAGTCGTTCCAGGTAGGCATCTTTCGCCGAGGCCATGAGCTGAGACCCTTGTTGTGCTAGCGAGGCCATGAATCCTGTCGGCGCCTTCTTCCTTCTCGAATGATAAATGTTGTACTTGAAAAGCAACGAGTTGAATAATTCCTCCAGGCTCTTCTTCTCTCGCTCGATGTAAGAGTTGCCCACCATATACGGAACAAACAGCTCCTCCATCTGTTGGTCTAATGTCTGGGCGATTTGGGCAGAACAAGGTTCAGGGTGTTCCGTTAGACCATGGTGCTTGAGATCCTCTATCAGTGCGCTGATGTAGTTCCTCGAAGCATGAAGGGAGCGCAGAAAGGCCAAAGTAGAGATGGTCTCGGCCTTTTCCAACACCATCTCCAGTCGCTGCTGGATAGACTGCTGAAAGACTCTTTGAATGAATTTGATCAAGACGGTCTCGTAGTACGGGAAAGCCCTTCTGATAATGAAAGACTCTTCCTGCATGACGATCTTGACCTCGTCGATCAACGACTGGAGGCTGGGCTCAACACCAGGCGGGTCTTGGTCAGGGTCTGCTAACTGATCCCAAGTCTCGCCGTCCGTAGTTACTTCATCGGTGATCAATTGATCGCGGTCGATGAAGAACTGGTGCTGGTTCACGAAGACGGCAATAACACTTGCGCCACCGTTGAAATCATGCAAGACCTTGGCGCACTCCATCATGTCGTCGAAGTTCTGCTTTCGGTAGCTGTTGTTGAACTGTTTGAGGAGGTCCTGCTCCAGTGTCTCGCAGAACTTCTCGAGGACCTCGCGCGTGTTATGGTTGGGTCTGCCTGCGCCAACCACACCGTTGGTGATGCCGTTCCGATGGCCATTTGTCTGGTTCCACGCGGCAAGATCCAGCCGCTGGCTGATGCGCATGAGCTGATGGGCGATGACCGCACATCGGACCTTGTTTTCGGCCCCTCCCTGCCTCCGAATATCCTGAAGAGAGGTGAGCTCCCCCGTCTCGCTGACCTCCAACCAGCACTGGATCAAGAAGTTGGCATCCTGAGCTCTCCTCCTTTTCCGGTCCAGTTCCTCCAGCTTCTCTCCAATCTGCACGGCGACATTGCCGCCTCCGTCTCCTCGAGCACCGCGGTCGACGCCGTTCGGGTTGTTGAGGCTGACATCGAGCGCCTCGAAGGAGTCGATCGACTGGTCGAGCTTGCGGCCGAGGGTGTCGAGTGTCTGGTCATGCTGGGCTTCGGCGCGGCGTACTTGAGACAGGAGCTCGGATTCCTTTTCCTGCAGTTCCTCCGACAGGTTGCTAAGTCCTTGTAAAGCATCTGCGCGTACGAGCATTAGTAAAAATTCAGGGGGCCTCGCAATGTGCCGTGCAGGCCATGCCCCGTGACTTACTCTCAAAGGTCCGGATCAGGGGCTTCGGGTCGAATGGGGCTGAGGCTGGACCGGAACGGCGGTTGGCCGAGGTGGCATTCTCGGCGAGGGTATCAACAAAGTCGCGCACGATGAAGTCCTTGTTGGAAAAGTCCTCGAGACTGTAGCTGGGCCCCCTGGGGAACAGAGCCCTGGATCCGGAGCCTGTTCTCTCCATTGGGCTCGGCGAGGTTGCGGCTCGTGGCTGCTACATGGAAGGTGGGTTGGCCCTGGTGTGCTTCGAGCTCTGGCCGGCGGGGATGTCTGGTAACTTGAGATGGCAAGGCGTTGGAGTAACAGACGAATTGACGCAGCAGCGATCAAACGACAGCGCAGTGCATGCCGCGGCGCTTGCGATTTCTTGCGAACCGATATGTTCCAATGCGACAGTCCGCACGCCCGACGAGTCTGGAGTCTGGAGAGACGGTTGAGGCGGGATGTCCCAGGCGACAGACAGGGATCAGCTGCTTCTGCTTGGAGGTTGGATTAGAGCCCCCCAGGGCCTGGGGCCACGGTTCAGTTGCCAAGGACCCAGGACCCGAAATGCGCGACTGAGCCACAAGGATTCATCACCCGAGTCCGCGTGCGGTCTTGCAGGTGGGCTCAAGCTCAGCCAGACAACATGGACAGGCAGGACAGGCTGCAGGGGCCCGCCACTAAGATGGCAGGATGGACAGCGCCAAAGGCCCAACTCTACCTAGCCTCGGAAGCCGTGGCCACTGTGGCAGGGCATCTGGGCAGTAAATTCATGTGCCACTCACTGGACGCCGCTGCTGGCTGGCTGGCGCAGGTGCAGGTTGACGTTGCGTTTTGACGATCAGTGACGTCCAATTGGCAATTGGCAACCACTACTACCACCACCACCACCACCACCACCACTGGGCGCCGCAGCTCTTGTATTCCTCGTTCCTCGGTCTCGACAGCATCGCCGAGGTCTGGCACAGGAGGCAAGCTGTTCGTGTCTGTTCGGGTCCGCATTGCGTGTCTTTTGTTTTGGGCGACGTGTACGAACATAGACCTTGTCCCACTCCTCTCTACAAGTTTTGCTTTCTCAGTATTTCCCTCCCTCTGTCCTGCCTACAGCCTCTACCTGATGGAACACATGCCCTAGTACGGCAACGTTGGAACAAGCAGGACCCAAGACGACCAGGCACCCGACAGCAATATGCCTTTCAGCGCAAAGGACACGACCGTGTATCGGGCAGACGCCCAGGTCGATGGCAAGCTGCTCAAAGCGCAGCAGAGAGAAGAGCTGGCCAAGGTAGGTTGCAAATGATTCTCCATCTCTCTACGACATGTCCCGGCCATGCTGGAGGTCTATATACTAGGAAATGACAGCTAATAAGTCCGCCACGTAGCGCTACCTACCTTCTCCGCCGTCCAGTCCTGACGCACGTCGAAAGCGTTCCAATGCGACGTCAGAAACGTCGCGTTTCGGGGTTAGAAAGCTCCTACGCCAGCAGCTCTATGCGCTATCCTACGCCCTCATCCACATCATTTTCTCTTTCTACATCCGTGTGCGCATTGCCTACCACACTGTCAGCCTCGGCATCGTATCCATACTGAAATACCACCACCGCACACCCGAGTACATCCAGCGCGACGTTCAGTCGCTCCCCAAGAAGCCCAAGCACGTTAGTGTCATCTTGACCCTAGAGGACGGTGGCAAACGCGGCGATGCCAAGGACAGACTGCTAAACGAGGTGGCCGAGATCACCGCTTGGTGCGCGTCCGCCGGCATCTCGCTCCTGACCGTGTACGAGAAGACGGGCGTCCTCAAGGATAAGATGGAAAGGGAACACCGCGAGATCTCCAAGCGGCTGCAGGACTGGTTTGGTCGCTACCAGGCGCCGGATTTGCATCTACACTCGCCCAACATGCGTGTCATTAGCCCTTCCAACTACCGGGGACCCAAGCTGCGTCATGGCGCCATGCCGGCAGGAGTCCAGGCCGTCGGGGTCAACTTCATCTCATGCGAGGACGGCCGTGAATCCGTCGTCGACCTTACGAGGGTGCTCACCGATATGTCTCAACGTGGCAAGATCTCCGTGAACGACATCACAACGGACGTCATCGATGAGGAGCTGCGGCAAGTTCTGAACGAGCCGGACCTGCTCATCTCGTTCAGTCCCTATGTCGACCTGCAGGGCTTTCCCCCGTGGCAGATCAGACTTACTGAGATCTACTGCCAGGAGGACAACCAGGGAGTGGGGTACCAGGTGTTCCTGAACGCACTCAGGAAATACTCCTCGGCCACCTTCAAGTTAGGGAAATAAGGGGACCTGCATATAAACGGGGAAGAGGGCTTGTCGCCTCGCATATTCTGAGGCGCCTTCATGGCGGTTAATTATTGGTAATCGGATTTCCAGGTTTGCCAGGCATGTATAGACAAATACCCATTTCTTTCTGTTATTTGGTCAATCAGCCAATCGATCAGATTCATCATGACTTCTTCGGCTCCCACAGCTTCATCTCTCTACTTGCTGAGTCCCACTTATACACCGGCCCTACGCCCACGTTGTAGTTGTAGTAATTCTCGGTGCCACCCTTGACCATGGCCCGGCGGAACGTGATGTTGATCCTCCCGCCGTCCTCGGCGTTCTTCCCCGTGCGCTTGGGAATCGAATGCAGCCAGTTCGCCTGCGTCGTCCCGCGCATGAGGATCATGTCACCACTACCCAGCGGCAGCTTGAGCGGCTTGGCCTCTTTTCCCTCCTGCTGCAACACCTTCGCCTGCCCTTGCTCTCCGAGCGAAGGAGGTGGCGGAGGTAGCGGCTTGTGCTTCATCAAAAAGTCCCGCCGCGCCCCCAGCGAGAAACTCGCGATGGCCGGCAGCGGGCCCAGGAACCGCTCGTCATCACTGTGGAACGAGATGCTGTCGCTGCCGCTGGCGTAGTAGTTGACCAGGCAGAAGTTGAACTGGCAGCCCGTTGCTGCCTCGGCGCTCCGGCGTAGTACATCCAGGCACCCCGGAATCGGTCGCGGTGGGTACTTGTCGTAGTACCTGTCGCCGACGACCTTCTTGCCCGTCTTGGCGTCGACTATCTCCGTGGCGCCGTCTTGCGTGGTGTCGGCGGCGGAGGACGAAGACGACGACGACGAGGCTACGAAGCGCGACGTCTCGTCCAGGCCGAACACGGTCGTCCACCGCGGCGTGCGGATGTGCGTCGAGACGCCGCCGCGACGGATGTCGTACTCGACCCGATAGAAGGGCAGCGACCCGCGCAGGAATTCAAACAGCTGCCGCGCGCTGCCCCGTGGCAGGTACGGCTCAAAGTACAGCAGGTCCAGATCCGGCTGGTCGGCGATGGTGTGCCCAATGCTGGCTGGTAGAGAGGGCAACTCCGTGGCCAGGGCGGCCGGGAGTCCGGGGATTGGGAACGGGTAGGTGGGGTGGTTGCTATAGGCTGGTGCCTGTGAGGTGTATGCGTGTGTCAGTAGGCAATGACAACACGCCAGACAGATACCAAAATGGTGCGAGATAAGCAAGAGGCTGGATGAGATCAATTCCGCAGAAGGTTCTGAGGACCCGGTAGGCGTGAGATGGTACAGGGCCGGAAAGTACAGAAACATGAATACTTAGTATCAGTTGTAATGAAATGGTATGAAACGGTGCCGGGCGCTTTAGCATCTGGCGGAGCTTCCTCCGTCGGAGTTAAACTACAATTCGCGAACGCAAGGGTAAACTTACACAAGAGGGCTCGTCCTCAAGGTTCTCGTTTATGACCTCGCTACTCTGCTCGCTGTTGGTGACGTCTGAAGGCTGGGATGATATCGCGCGTAGCTTCTTCGCATCGACGGCCTTGTCTGCGAAGTCGGACTTTGGTTTGCCGAAGAAGGCATCTATCGTGCGCTTCTTGGTCGACATCCTCCCAGAAGAATGTTGTGTGTTATTGGCAGCTTAAAGCTGGTTATAGACTCTGTGATGTAAATCAAGAGGACGTGGTATTGGCTGGTAGGTATCGAGAAAAGAAAATTTAGTTCCAATAACTGCTCGTAAGTCTACAGCTGGACGACTCTTTGTTCTTATCTCAGGGCTGAATGTCTGTCTATATTGATTCGAATACATCTAAGAGACGCGTCTCCAGACCATGACGTCCTCGACATGCGCGTATACTCGTGAGGCCAAGGGGCAGCTTAGCGGGTGCCTCAGCCTTATGACGGCATCAGTACAGCCTTGCAGTGCTGATCGGCCAGCGGGGTCAGGGGTCCCTGAGCCCTGTGGAAAAATTTTGGGGAATCTTTCAGCCTTGCGATTTGGAGTCTTCTGGACTGTGCTAGGAGCGAGGTGCGCCCAACGACCGCACTATTTATACGTTCTTTCCGGACGTTCGCGACAGAGAATAGCGTGCAATTGCTATAGCGTAGAGGCTGCCGATGTCTTTGCTCCAACAGCTGTTTCGCACAATTATAAGAAAACCCAAGATGCCGCCCCCCACGCCGTCGACCGAGGAGCTCTTCCGCCCGCCGGTTCTTCGCCCGTTCTCCGGGACACTCGACCGGTCCCTCTTCTCCAAGACGATCCCGCTCGCAGCTGCGACAGTGAGCAGCAATCAGAACATTGCACGATATAGGCGCGAGCTCGAAAAGGCCAAAGAAATCCTGTGCGTCGATCGAATCAACGCCATCGCCGCGCATCCAGATCCGGTCCTGGCGTCGCAAGGCAAGAAATGCCTGCTGCTCGACCCCAGCGCCAAACCGACACAGCCGGAGACATGGGGCGCTGTGCTTAAGGGTGGCGTTGAGAAGGATGAGCTCGGCGTCATTCCATATGAGCTGAAGCTCGATTATTCGTACTATGGCTTCTTGGACGTAATCACGTCGATCCTGCCCGAGGAGCTGCACGACGAGATCCCCTCCGGCTTCAACGCCGCCGGCCACGTTGCGCACCTGAATCTACGGGAGCCATACTGGCCTTACAAGGCGCTGATTGGCGAGATCCTCGTAGACAAGAACGCCCACATCCGCACAGTGATCAACAAAGTCGACAATGTCGGCACTGAGTCTGAATTCCGGACTTTTGCGTACGAAGTACTCGCCGGCCCAGACGACATGGACGTTGAGGTCCGCGAGAATGACTGCGCCTTTCACTTTGACTACAGCAAGGTTTACTGGAACAGCAAGCTCGAAAAGGAACACACCCGGCTTATCGGCATGTTCAAACCCGGCGAGGTGGTATGCGATGTCATGGCTGGAATTGGGCCTTTTGCCGTGCCCGCTGGCAAGAAGGGCGTGTTTGTGTGGGCTAATGACATGAACCCGGAAAGTCACAAATATCTCACCGAGGCCATCAAGCGAAACAAGGTTGGGCAATACGTTCGGCCCTTCAACAGCGATGGGCGCAAATTCATCCACGAGGCGGCAGACTCCGTCCATGCTGCCGCGACGGCCGGTGAGCACGCCGTCATACAGAAGAAAGCCCGCCGTCATCGTCAAGACAACGGTGCGACTGAGAAGGAGCTTCCGCCCCCTGAAAAGGTCCCAATACCACCAACCATCGCACATTTCGTTATGAATCTTCCCGCATCGGCCTACACCTTCGTACACCATTACCGTGGGATCTATGCCGGTAAAGAGGACCTCTTCGTGCCTCACACAAGCACGAAACTACCCCTGGTTCACGTGCACTGTTTTGCTCTAAAGAGCGACGACGAGGTGCCGTTATTGGACATCTGCGAGCGCCTGACCAATGAGCTTGGTGTCAAAATGGTGCCAGGAGATGCCGATAATTATGGCGAAGCCAGTATACACAATGTCCGGGACGTGGCTCCGGCCAAGCGGATGTTCTGTGCAACATTCAGGCTCCCTCCCGAGGTTGCCTTTGCCCCACGGACGTAAGGATCTAGTCTGACATGATACGATTTGCAAATGACAATACCAATTCTTGAACCGGGAACCGGCAAGCAGACCTAGGTCTGGTACGGGAGAAGAATGGCATGAGAAGGAGCGAAAAAACTCCACCGGCGTGCAGGCGACGCTACGCTCCTCCTCTTGAAGCGCTTGTCAGGTCGAAAAGCCCCTTGCGCCGTAAGGACCGCATGTGAAAATGCAACAACCATGGGTGTCATCGCTTTGCTGCGGGAAAGGCCGCGCCCAATCTTTATAAAAGGAAACGAGCCCCATCAGAATCCACAAAAGGTCCCGTCTGGCCAATTTCGGCCCGCGTTCGAGTGGAGCCTGAGTGCATTATCTCCGTTATAGCCCCGTCCAGGTTGCAAGAGCGTCTCAGTGATAGAAAGGAGCAACTGGTTGCGAGCCCTCGCTTCGATCTCCGCCTGGAAGCTCCACGCAAAGAGGTTGACGTGACCGGTCGGTGAGGAGAAGGGGTCTGATCAAACATAATATACACGTGTGTTGCATCAGTTCAGAAGATGTGGCGTGTCCTATACCAATGCGAGTGGAAGTTCTAGAGCCCCAAGGACCAATGCGGGCTACGGAGCAAACGAAGTGGGTGGGTGGTATAGCGCCGTCCTTAACATGGGTACTGGCAATAAGATCGGGTTGAGCAGGGTCGTCTGTTTTCTCCAGCACAACGATTCCGACAAATCAAAGATTGTGTGTGACGTGATTGGATGCTCCATCAGATAACTCGCAGGGCGCGATGTGACATGTCGAAGAACTTAGATCTTCAATGTTTAGTATGCAACTCGTATCCGATCAACAGCAATCTCTGCGCAATGGGCAATAAACTTTGACGACGGTATAAGCCCTTGGCATGCCTAAGTGCCGTCCTCGACGCTGACGAAACAAATCGCGAACATTCGTCACCTTGCTTGGCCCGTCAGTGTGCCCAAGCAGTTCCGCTTGATAGGCCCGCACCAGCATACTGTCGCCGCTCGTGTTTCGTCGAGGTGGTGTGGTGCCGAAGTGCCTTCTTCAACTTGAGCCTCCTCCGACTGGGCGGCTGATAAACAGGGCCCATCACTGCCTCATGACGTGTTGAGGGTGTGCCCTTTTGGCGAGCCGCTGGCATTTGTTTGGGCTTCTGCGGCCTGTTCAAGAAGATGATGGGAAGCAGGATTGTAGCACGCAGGAGCTCTCCCTGCAGGTCGGGGTGGAGCTCTCATGCAGGCATGGCCAACCTGCGATGCGATGCAACCCAGCTGCATGGGAGTCTGTGGTGTGTCAGAACATCTGTCCGGTGGTAAAGTAGATCAAAGGCAGGGGGTTTCGGTTTCCGCGAGCATGCCGCCAGTGAGCTGGTGATTCGCTGACGGAAGTCCGGCTTGATAGCGGACGGTAGGGCAGAGTGTCGAGATAGGGAATTGACTCTGGTGTTTGCTAATGAGTTGGCGGGGCTCTTTGCTATCAACGTGCAGTGGCCTAGAGCTTAATGACGTTTCTGTGACTGATGTTTGCCTTGACTGTGCAATGGGCCGTGTATTTATCGTGATCATTGCCAAGGCAGAAGCTCCCGTAATTTTATTTCTCTGGCGGCGTGGAGTTATCTACATGCATAGTGACATATTGTCATGAACGTTGATGGGAGTGATTCGATGGGTGCGGCTGCCAGTGCCAAATAAATCATGCTACTTTGAGGCCTGTTTATTATACATACTAGGATAGATAACAGGACAAACAGGACGAGCCGCTAATGTTGGGATTGTCCAACCACGAATTTGGATGTCTAAATAATGCCTCTAGACAACCTGACCACAAGGTGAAATGAATCAAGGCAGACCTATAACAAACTGCTTGTCCCGAGGTCTCAGCCCTCTGTAAAGGGCCGAGGGCTTACATTTCGGGGAACTCAAGGCTGATGGCAAAGGACTTGGGCAATGTGCAAGGATGATCCCGCGAGCTCGATATGTCACTTCTCAACTCCTGGGGGAGCCGCGTTTTCTGGGGAATTGAGGTTGTGCCGGAAGCGCTCGGATTACTGCCTCTGGACACTTCTCCCGTAAGGCGGAGGTGGATTGTCGGTGGGACTGGAGAGTTCCCCGGACGAATTGGATTAAGCAGCTTTTGAAGCGGAACTCTAAACTTGATACCAGGCATTCATTTGTGAACGAGGACCTTGATGATAGCGATCGGCTGAGTATTACGATTTGTTTGGGGAGTGCACTGTAACCTACCGGTAGGTATTCAGAGAGCAATAGCTTATCTCGGCAGATATGAGGTATGCCATACTTCGGCAGCGCCCTTGCAACAGATGATAGGGAACACGCGCCTTTCTTTGATCAGAACCGGATATAGGCAAAGAGCCGCTGTGATCTGCCCAAATTTCCCTTTCAAGGATTGAAGAGCCAATCGAAGGGCGGACGACATGTCGCAATAACAACCTGGACTGCAGGTCTCTGCGATGCCGGTGTGGGCGTGCTGCAGCTCCAGGATGGTCATCACACACACACACACACACACACACACACACACACACACACACGGGACGCTGGCGCGTTATGATCATGCTTTCCGCCATGCTTTCCGGCGATTGAGAGCTTTATGATGGAGTGCCCGGGTCCTTGCTGGTAAAGTGCTGCATCAACAGCAATGCATGGACATCTTCAGGGCAAAATGTTTCTTCGAGACACGCCGGGCGCTGCTCAAACAAGATTAGGAAAGCACCAGGAAGGATTCGCGGGGATATACGGTACTGTGCATACTGTATCGTAATCCACAGAGATAAGACCGTGGCGGAGATGCACGTATGTATGCATGTATATATGTACGTCAAGGAGACCAGGCAGATAGTCTGTATGAGGCGTTCGACGCTAGACGCATGTCCTCGAAGTGATTGGTCGTCGTCCGCGAGTGTGCACCTTGGTAGAAAGGTTCTGGTCCCAACGTTGGAGGTGGCGTTGGGGGGTTTCAGCACCCCGCAGAGTCTGTTTTGTCGATCAAGGGTCCTACACCTCTTGAGCGAAATCGCATCAGCAAACCAAGCATCTGCATGGTTCGCAGCTTGATGATGGCCAATGTCAGCGGCTACAAAGGTTTAGAAAGAAATTGGAAAACCTTCCTTGGCTATAGTATATCAGTATCAGGAACTCGTATTGATAGCCACATACATCTGACACGTCGTTCCTGTTACGTCGAGCGGTGGAGATCGTAACTGAAGGTACCGTTGAAGCTTTGATAGCTCGCTGAAACCAACCCCCTTTGCTCCACGTAGCCGCCTCAGCAGGCTTCTTAACTAGCTGGCTGACGATAGATCCGAGACGTCTAGGAGAAAAAGAAAGCTCACATTGATGGCCTCATCAGACCCCGCAATAAGATTTCATACATGTACTGTGGGTGCTAAAACTGCAAAACGCGACCGGCGACCCAGAAAATTAACCATTCTTTGCAAGGCCTACGAATATTGCCTTCTGCTTCTGTAATTCGCCTTGTACGCTCTGAGTAATCACGACCGTATGCACTAGGAACAATGTAAATTACTGAGTGCTGTTTCTTTCTTTGTGCTGCCCTGAAAGTAGGTTTCTTAGAGTGGTGTCGTCCCCTGCAAGTAACTGCTGATCCCTGCGTCGATCGTCCTATACTCCCCCAAAATATGATCATTCTGCATTGGAAGATCTGGATCTCGATGTGTGCTGCCCCGATAGATATCTAAAGCAACTACGTATCGTCGGTAGCACAAATATGCGCAAGAATTACAACCAACTGCAGGATTGACTCGAGAACTAGGTGCTCGGCATGTCATATAATATCTCCATGCATCAGCCACAGAATCAACGAGCGTGGAGGTTTGTGGGGGTCTTCAACACTACAATCCTTTGGCATTCCGTATGTGATCAAAGGTTGGCAAGACGTGGGGGCAAAGCCATTGCGGAGAGCGGAAAACGATATATTCTAGTTGGTATTTCAGGGACGCCCTAACAAATAGTTCTGGGTCAAAAATAAAGATTTATAGACTTCTGCTAGTCATCCTTGATCCTTGAGATGACTTGAGACTGGCGGTGGTCGGGACGGATCGGAATCCATCGAGGACCAACTTCTTGTGACTCAGCAACTGCGCGGCGAACTCAACGGGCCGAGGTGCTAGGGATGGTAGCTTGTTGCTGTGCCAAAGTGGTACAATTGAGATTGAAGTCATCAACTATCATTCCCAAGCCCCTAGATGTTCTTTTTGGGAGACTATGAAGTGACCCTTGCGGTTATCTATACTCAAGGCCGCAGGTTTGCAAGTATAAACGAGACAAGGGCGAGGGTTTTCTGAAGAGAAAAGGGACAAAATAACACCGTCTATCTTCATTCGGGTAGGTCTTGATATGTCCTAGTATTCAAATTCGCACAGAGAAAATATCTTCGTATCACTACGAGCTGTGTACTTTGCTATAAGAAAGCTGGTAGCAGACTCAGGATTGATCTTTGCTCGATTACGCCAGCCAATCAAGACTTGACCATCCTTGGCGGCTGGACAGGTCCTTAGATTGCCGTTCTTCCGACTTGAAAGGACCCCTGGATGATATCGATAGACATGACATATCTGACCTCAGATAACGAGAGGCTACGAGGTGCTTGCGCGGGATATGGGAAACCTACACCCCCAGAAGTCTAATCTCCACCATGCAAAACCCCAGGTTCTTCGTCAACGTTGTCCGTGATGTTTCATAGGGCATACGCGTGCTCATGAAGTCAAATTGCGGTTTGACCGTCCAGACATGCAGGTGCAACACTTTGCGAAATATTAGACTCTGACTTTGACGTCGGTTTGCGGCTCTGCGGCACCTTATAGATGAGAGTCCTCGCCGTGTGCAGTAGTAAGCGGCCCGGTATGATCACTCGGAGAGGGACAAGAAGCTTCGACTCAGCACCGACAGTGGGATAGACCAGAAACGCACAGAAGGCAGACAGACACCAAGTAAGTACCACTATCGTGGCCGGCCTTGTACCAGCACTCAGAGTTGGACGGCTCCAGCTGGGTTGCGTTGTGCAACTACGGACTGGGACACATTGCTGCAATAACGACGCTACGAGCAACCAATAGGGAGAAATAACTCTCGCTCAATTGCGTCTGGAGCAACACGATTCGCTCCAAGCGGGTATCCGGGTTTTTACCTAACCCCCATGTAGGGAGAAAGGTTGATTTGATTCAGAGTTGCCCTGACAAAGGTGCCCACGTCCGTGAGTTGCAGCGGACAATTCTAGGCCCCTTCCCCACTGCTGACAGGACGAGGAGCGCGCCCATTGGCCCAAGGAGGCCGCTGCCCAGGCCCCAGGCTTGCCAGGCCCCGTCCATTTCCCAGCAGGATGGGCCGAATCAGCTCAAAACCAGCGGTTTGTCTTCAGTCCGGTCTAGTCCCGCAAGCCGGTGGAGCCCTAGTAGAATTCAGACAAAACCCGTCAACTCGGGATTTTGTACGGAGTAAAAGGGGTCCAGCGATGGGAAGGCGGCGGTTTTGGCTTGGGTAAGACAGGGCGGAGGGCTGGCACTGATTTGACTGACTTTTGGATTTGAAATTGAGTGCTGCTCGCTCCGTACTGTGTACACTATCGAGGATGGCGATGCTCGCTTCTCCAGCTACCGTACCCCAGGGGGCCTATCGGCACCTGGCACCGCTGTTCGCCGGTTTTTCGCAGTTAGTACGGGTCGGAGACAGGGGCCCCGTTCCCCCAGGTCTTGGACTGTCGCCTCCCTGGCCCCCGCCGCGCCTCGTCTGCCCATCTCCACTGGGCAGTTCTGGGTCACTGGCTAGGCGTTGTCTCGGTGTCTTCAGGCAGAGTTTGAATGGTCGAGACGAAAACGCCGTCGTTGGCGCTCCACCGCGATGCAGCTGCATGCGTCAAGCAAGTCCTGTGGTAGTGCGTGCGTGCGAGCGAGCGAGCGCATGTAAGGTAACTCTGTGTGTGTAAGTGTGTCTGTACGTGTGTATGTCAGCCAGTCAGTCAGGTTAGTCCAGGCATGCGCTCTGGTGCGCTGATGCCATTGTCCTGCCCTGCGCTTCTCGTCCTCATTCTTGTTCCAAGGTATCCGTACAGTAGCACCCGACCCTGTGCATGTACCTATCTCAGCGTATTTTGCCTTTGCACCGTCTCCGCCCTAGGCTCATGCGTGCCCGATGGGATATCCACCGCTCTGTCCTGCAACTTGGGCCCCGTCGAGCGTCTCACTTTACGAGAGCTTCTTTGCGCGGGCCACGGCGCAGGCTTATTATTGTTGTTGTTTGTGGACAGTGGGAACCTGGAGCGAGGTTCCACCGAACCGCATCGCAGACACATTGTAGTTCTTAAGTCGATCTCAGGCGTCGAGAACGCATGTACAGTAACTACAGGAATACAGACACAGCCAAGGGAGATTCGAGCCGACCGTGTGTGCGCGCCCTGGATTCTTGCACCGTGTGATGCGAATACCCCCCATGCCGTGTGCTGTGCTCTCTGGCTTTAATTCTTCTTGTACCCCTTCACCGTCTCCAGACTCCCCCATCCTCTCGTCGGCTAGCCTACCCTCCATCCCACGCCCTCGCTCGAGGTACTGGTTGGCTCGATCTGGATGCCAGAGGTCGATGATCCCTGTTTAAGTGGCATTTCTACCCCCTCCGCGTCCTGTGCATCCTTGCAATTTGCAAGAGCCTTCCGATCTCCCGGTATCCCATCTCCCACCTTGGGTTTTTTCCCCCTTCGCAGGCAAGCCGCCTCCTGCCCGTTGACTAAAACTACATACCTACCCCAAAGTACTGTGTGTCTGTCTGTCTGTACCTCACCCTGGGGACAGCCCTTCCCACACCTTGCTGAGCCGGCATCTCTTATCTGGAGACGCCCTCCCACACCCGAACCATTATCGTCGCCTCACAGCCTGCAAGTTGCCCCGACGCTCGACTTCTTCACCACTCTCACTCTCGCTCTCGCTCCTCCCGAGGCTCTCCTCAAACCTCGACCTCGCTTTCTTGACGTAAACGCATCCCCGACACCGCGACACCACGCCAGGGTCGCACTCACCGTCCACTCCGCCATACAAACGGGTGACTCCCGCCTTTGTCTCTTACACGCATTAAAAACTCCGCCTCGACCAGATTCTGCACGACGTCGCTCGTTCCGTACTGCGCACCCGGCAACAAACGCAAATTATATTGGGGGAACTGCATCTGGGAGGCGACAGGCTGTGTTCCTATGAGGATCTCGTCTCGATCTTGATCGGTGACAGGAGCTGCATCGTAGGAGGACAGGTGACGGTGTAGACTTGCGCTTGGGAGGAAACCTCGCTTCAACCCCAGACATGGCTGTGGTTCTTTCATCCGAAGACAGTGGCTTCTTCTCTTCATCGCCTTTGAAGCGGTCCCATTCCCAGCCCAAGTTCCTGACCTCACAGTCGTCTGGATTGCACACTTCGGCTTCCACATCACGAATCAGCGATTCATATCGCGGCAGCTATCAACCTTACCACATCCCATCCAGTTCGAGTCCTTCTTCCGCTCCATCATCACCCAGCACCGTCCACGCCGAGTCCGTCGCCCCATCCTACTCGTCAACCCCGGCAACCAATCTTTCCCTGGACGGAAACTGCGAGGAGAACCTCGGCTTGGATACCGACGACAATATCTTCTACTCACCCTACGACAGGAACTCCTATTTTGCACAATTGGAAGACTTGGAGCCGCCAACCAGCCCGCGCACGGGTGACTCATACACAGTTTCTCCAACAGATCATGATACATCTGCCGTAACCTCTCGGCCCGAGTCGCCTGTGGCCCTTGAGCACGCAGAAGATGACACGGCCGTGAGGCATCATCCAACCCAACATGTTGACTACTTGTCGCATGACTGGAAAGAGGAGGATATTTGGTCATCATGGCGCTACATCGTATCCAAGCGGACAGAATACACCAATGCCCCTCGTTTAGAAAACGCTTCCTGGCGGACGTGGATGAAGTCTAAATATGGGCTAAAAACGGTTTCACCAGAGACACTGAATTGGTAGGTTGGCCACCCCATATCCGGAGATGACTGCTAATGCATCACAGGCTCAAGGACTGTGACGTGACATGGCTATACGGTCCCCTCCAGACAGGCCCGACGAAGTTGTTGTCCACCGACACCGAGCAGGGCAGTTCGACTTTGTCTCGCACAGACTCGTTCGTTCAGAAGAAGCCAATCCTAAAGAAGCGCAGCATGTCTGAGGTCATGCTTCAGAGATCTATTTCATCTTCTTCCCTTCTCAAACAAGCCGCTGCTGCGGTTCAAGCACAGCAGAGCGACCCCAACGCTAGGACAGCCAGGCCCATCCTTCAACGGGCCACTACAGACTTTGTTACGTTCCCCTTTGCATCCCGAAGGTTAAGTCGCCAGAATACCAGCCTTGCACCATCGAATGCTTCGTCTGGCGTCGAATCCCCGACGGCTGAGCGAAAACACATTCACTTTGATGAACAGGTGAAGCAGTGCATCGCAGTCGAGGTCAAAGGGGAGGACGAGGACGAAGAAGAGGCGGAGGATGATTACTGGAACCAGGACTACGACAGTGACTCGGACGATGGTGGTGTTATGATGAAGAGCACCAAGTCGAAGAAGATGCCTTTTAGGCCGAAACCCAAGACCAACCTCAGCACCGAAAGCAAGACCATTGCGATGCTACCATCAACGACATTAAAGTATCGGGAAGATACTCCTGATTTACCTGACACCGCCATGAAGCACAGTACAGGTCCACTCCGCAGTCCTCTGCTATCGCCTTCGTACTCTCAAGAGACTTTACGTCCTTCAAAACAGTCTGGCAACTTCTTCGCTGGAGATAGTGATGACGAGGAGATTGACGAGGAGATGAATGCTACCCCAGTGTCTAGCCCCACCGACGCTCTGTCACAGTCGCGGCAGTCGAGTCTACAACGGTCGCCCTCCTCTAACGGTCTGGCTGCTGAGCCAGCAGGCATGCGGCGCACCGAGTCGGGCATGTTCATGCCCTACGAGGAAGGTGATGGCCAGGGCAACGACGGACTCATCGGCCGCGTTATTGATACTGTCAACACGGCCAGGGACATCGCTCATGTGATCTGGAATGTGGGGTGGCGAAGGTGAAGGATCGTGGCGGCATCCGGCTCACTTTTGCAGGGATTCTTTTTCTTGGACAACTTCACACAAACAAAGTCTTTACCAAAAGGCCATGGAGAGCCAACTTTTGATTTGAAAGCGCATTGCAACCGGCGTTCACTCGAGGTCATTTGATTTGAATATTTTTTATAAACCAAGTTATCCTTGGAATTTCTGGCGGCCTCATCCGGGTATATAGGAAGTTGGGTTGGCACGGCGGCTTGGGATAAATCATCTTTTACGGCCGTTGGGAAACAAGGTTGGCAGCATACATGGGAAAGGGTTATTTGGGGGCTATCGGGTATCACGGGCGTTCCTCATGCTATTATGCATCGTCTACACACGTCATCATGCGGCAACAAAAAAAAGGCGGTTTGGGAACGGAAATACATGCGGCCCCCGAATAATAATTCTGGCCTTGCCCGCAAGAAATGCGGGCTTGGCCCCGGCGTTCAAGCGCCTGATGGAAGAACGGTTTCCTGCCAACGGGACTATAGCTTGGCCCTCGACTTCGATCCCCATTTGCGGGTTTCTGGAATGGAACCTGTTTGGGGCCACGAAGCTAATGTCGGTTGTTGTACATTTGTTGGAAGGCTTAGTAGTGTGCGTGCTGATCCGAGCGTCTTTACACGACTTATGTATCATTCACGTCATACAATACACATAGATATGTCGAAACATCCTTGTCTTGAAATCACTCTGCCATGACATGACGGGACACAGTCCTCGTATTGCTCCCCGTCGGGGACTGGAGGGGTGTTCAGGAATGTGAGCCATACTTGCCCCTTGAGCCGTCATTGGATAATGTGCCATTGTCATTCCTCGGCCCGAGAATGTGCCACGGGATGATGTACGGCATGCAACACAACGGCATTGTTCCTTGGCACAGGATGCTTGCTTTCAAGTGAGAAACGACACAACTCCTCTATTGCTACATATCTGTCTAATTTACAATTCCAAGCCTGGAGTTTCCATTCTCATTAATACGGTTATCTGTCTTTCACATGACCAACGAGTAATTTTACAGAGTATATAGCACATTCCTCGCGTCTCGGGAGACTTTCAAACCGTAGCGGCCGTAGGCGTGTCCTCCACCAGGGGGCTCTCCGGGACCGGGACATCCGCGGTCGGGCCGGTCCGCTCGAGCAGCCGAACGGCCTCGACCAGGACGGTGTTGGAATGCACGTTGACGTCGCTGAGCCTGACCTCGAAGACGTCCTTGACGCGCACGTCGGCCATCCTCACCACGTCGTTCAGGGCGCTGGGTCGCAGGAGGGCGGAGCGGTTGAACCAGTTGATGTTGCCCATGATGTTCCTCTTGGGAACGACGTGGTTGACGGTGAAGCGGAAGGTCTCGGGCAGCTGAGCCTCGTTGAACTTCCAGGCGCGCACCAGGGCCTGCAACATCCACTGGTCGGCACCGTTGCCGTTGCTGAGGAGCCGCGCTTGCTTCTCACGGACGAGGAGCATGGGCAACATCCTGTCGAGCCGGTTGCGTGTGAAGGGCAGGAAGGATTCACCCTTGTTCCCTAGAAGGGACTCGCCGCGTCTCTTCTCCTCCAGCAGAGCCGCCTGTATCTGCCAGTGAACGATGAGGTCGCCAAAGCGTCTGAGTGGGGAGGTCGCCTTGGTGTACATGTCAGCCCCTATGAGGAAATGAGGCCCAGGGACAGTGGAAAGTTCATCGCCACCGAGCAGAGCCCGGTAATGCCGCCAGTGACTATCATCAGGACTTGTTCCGGACTCGTAGAGAGGCACCAAGACATCCTGCATATATTGCTTGATGAGAACATCGTTTTGGGAGGCGTGTGGTTGCGAGCGGTATGGGATAGGGATGCCTCGTTCGTGGCACCACTTCGCTGCTATCTCACCCGCAAGCTTCATGGTGTTCTCTACTATGTCCGTGCCCGTACGCGCCGCGTAGTTGATTCGGATGACGGGATCGCCAGCAACAGTAACGAAACCCATTGGATCGTCCTTTTGAGTCACGCCGTCAAGCGACACTGTTGGCGTCGCGCGTGCTTGAAAGAAAGGCGTCGCGCCCTTGTCCAGTCTTTTCTGCTGAACCGCCTTCCCGAGCTCTGAGAGTAAAGCGAGGTCAGCTCTCTGCTCCACAGTCAGTTCTTGCGGCTCAGTCATTTTTCTTGTGGCAGGCCACGGTGTGTATTCGCCGCCAACCACCATTTCCTCGTCTGATGCGGTGGGGTCCTCTCGGGTCTCTCCAAGTGCTTCGTTGACAGCTTCAGGAGTCATGTACACCACATCCTGCAATATGCCGGGCGTAATTTTGTGCTCCAACACAGTACCACTCCTGTTTACCAGCGCACTAAACGTCATGGCCGGCTTGCCGGGAGCCAGAGAGAAGTTGGCCACACCAACATCCGCCGGTAGCATGCGAGAGAAATGACCCTGGAGATATACTGTCTCCGGTATCAACTCAGCAAACTTCGCGATAGGCGAATCCGGTAGGATTGATGATGCCGGATCTGCGACATGGATATGAATCCAATTTTCTTCCGGGTTGGAAGTGCGTTCCACGGAAATGCCATCATCAACATCTACCGTGGACGTGGCGTCAATACAGAAGGCAGTCAAACCCCTCCATTGCTTGCGCTGATCAGCCAGAATGTCGGGCTTCAGGTGGCCGCTAGTCAATCCTGGTAACTTTCGGGCAAAGCCTCCTCCTTTCTTGATCTCCACATCCGGAAATCGGATCCCGTACCTCGATTGTATCTCCCACGGAGTTATCCAGCCGACTTCTTGAAGAAAAGTCCACCCAGCTGACATATCAAGCCTCATATCGTTGTATCGTTTGAGCAAGCGAAGTATTGTACTTCCTATGCATTGAAGGCGGGAATAGTTAGGGAACCTTTGATAAGCGGCCCAAAGCTCCATGAACTTGAGCATCTCAATGTCTGTAGATGTCCATTCCACTGCCAATTTCGTACTAGAAGTCGAGGGACCAATGATACCATGTGGTGAGAGTTTCCTTACGGATCGGGTCTGGTCGATGGCTGAGCGGGCGTGCGCGATGAAGTCTGTTACGTTCGTACCGTCAACCGGTTGTATATTGCGCTTCCAGCCAGGCATTTCGAGGTAGTCTCGGATAAGATACTCGACTCTTTGAACTGTACGGACTTCTGAGAGGGGGCTGACTTCGAACAGATATGACCTTCGATGACCTGTGCGTTTGAGCGGCCTGAAGAAGACCTCATCCAGGAGGAGAGACCTGTGAACAGCGTATAGAGCTGCTGGGATAAACCTTCCGTTCTTCTTGATCGAAAACGGCAGGAGAAGGTCCGCAATCTCGTATAGTGTAAGGTATCGGTGCTTGTCTGGGTCTCCAATGAACATACTGGACGCGTCCAGTGTGCCGGCGTATGTTTGGTAAACTGCTTCAGCCTCTTGGGTGAAATCTATCATCTTCTTCAACAGTGGAGCACCAGCCGATCGCGAGGGATCGTGGCCCAAGTCCCTCAGCGCATTGATCGTGTCCAGGGACAGCTCGTTCATGGGAATTTCCGCGATGATAGGCTCGAGCTCTGCAGGCTCAGCGAAATTATGGATTACAAAAAGGGACTTGACACCAAGACCACTAAACCACTTGCCACTGTTGGTGTAGAAGTGCTCGTAGCCGTTGAAACGTCCCAGACAAACAGCAAGCACCGGTCGCCTCGATGCATCAGAGCTGCTCGGCGTTAGCACGACGGAGTATCCATTTCGATAACGGGCTCATACCTCATCTCAATAAGATCTCCTGCTTGCAATTGGATCTCATCAGATCGCAAGTCACTCAATTCGTCGCCTTCGAAAAGGGGCGAGCTAACATCCATTTGGGCCATCGAGATGTTCTGCGGCCGCGTGAAGTTGTTGGATACTTCTCCGTCGTACGCATGGTCCGTCAGCATGGCCGTTGACTCCGAGGGATTCTCGTCTGCCCACTTCTTCAGCTTCTGCCGGATTCCCAGAGGCTTCCCTCCGGTAGCCAAATAAGCAGCAGCCTTGGACGAAGTGGCCCCTTCGGCTACAGGCACATCGCCAGATGCATGATGAACCGTCGCGAAAGCCTGTTGCGCGTGTCAATCCTGATGCTCGTCGTATAGCGCTGCTGGATGCTTGACTTACTCTGTGTGATTCTCCTTGGGCTCGATTGGAGGGCGGCGCATTTCTCAGGCCAGCCGAGGGCTCTAACCTCTGGAGCCGGCCAGGAGAGCCAGCCGTACGGGCAGCGCATCGCCAGCACACATATGCGCGACTGGCCCGCAACATACTGGATTGGCAATAGACGTTCTGGCCACGAGGATCTCGAGTCCAGTCTAGATTGACCAAGGGGCGTGTCTTCAAACCTGGCGCGATCCCAGATATCGCCGTTGCGCAGCCGTCGATTTTTCCATGCTAACTAGGGGCATTGATTGGTTGCCGCTCAGAGGTGCCGGACCACGCACGGATCCATTCTCGCCCAATCAAACCACGAACCCACGTGACCTTGTCAGGGGGGATAACTACTCTATCGTTCCACTGCTACTAACTACTCACTTAGGTAACCCGTACTGCCGCAGACAACGGAATTGAGGCAACTTTGATATTCATTCACGCCGGCCATAGAATTCATTGTCGCAGATCTGTTCCCGCTTGGCTTGTAGCTAGTATTGAATCAGTTGCCACACCAGGCGTCGTGCCGGTCGAGAAGAGACATCCTTTGAGACATATGTGCCGTTTGCATCCTTCAACAAGCGCTGGGGTTTCCTAGTAGACGGTTGGAATGCAGTGCTGTTCCGTTTTCCTTTCTTGGCCCGGGGATAAAATTCCCATCACCCCAGTGTAATGATGGCGGCTTTCTTTGTGCCTTTGTCCCGATTCAACATTAGACATCCTTGCTTTCTTCAAAGGATATCCGTTTTACTATTTCTGTCTCCCAAGCCGCTCCTATTCGAGTGATCGCACGGTTCGAGTATACAGCCCAAAACCTAAAAATGGCTTTCAAGAAGTTTGCTCTGCTTGCCCTAGCCGGCTCGGCCTTTGGTGCCATGGCCGGCATGCCGGGAGACGCCATGTCTTCCGATATGGCTGACTCCATGCCCACACAACCAGCACAGAGTATGGCCTCACCAACTTCATATATCAATTCTACTTCCCTTTTAGATGCTAATTCCCCGTCATCGGTAACAGGCGCGGACCACGGCTCCATGGCGGCGACTGAAAACACAGCACCGATGGCAACCGATACCATGGCCACACACATGACGGAAGACTCTTCAATGGATTCTGGCGACCATATGACGGATTCAGATGCTATGACCGCAAGCATGACCGAGATGGGCTCAATGACGACGAGTGTGACCGGCATGGACATGCCGATGGGGACCGGGGGAATGGTTCATGGAAACTCCACAGGATCTGATGATCCTCCCATCTCTGGCAGTGGCGTCAGCAGTATTTCGGTAAGCATGATTGTCAAAAGGTTCTTGGACGTATGACTGATTCTTCGTAGATCGGCTTCATTGCCGCCTCGGTGTTCCTGGGACTACTCGTCCAGCTATAAACCGCATTCGATATAAGTAATAACAGTATGAATCCGAAGGAATTTGTTTCCGAGCTCCAAGGCCGAAGGGCCGACTTTTCTTTTGTACCGCGGCTTTTATCGAGGAGCTACCAGTCTGTACGAAGTTCTTCCGATAACTTTCTTTCTGATCAGACATTGACATGATCTGGCTTCTTTTCCCGCCTTGGAAGGGATAGGTAGCCAAGGCGGAAGATGGGGAACTCAGCATTTTTGAGGGGTACACCATGATTACAGCTAAAAATTAGTTAATTCAGCGTACTACACTGGGCATTGCTGTTCAAACAATGTTTCACTGATACCTTATAAGTCACGGTGACAACTGCTTCAATGTACCGAAATCTGGCCGTTATTGCATGTTGGCAATAATCGAGTAGTTTAATAAAGGATTCAAGGTCGTGGAGATTGGATTATTCTTTTGTGCCTACCATACGACAAACGTAGCGGCTAGACATTATTCAAAATGGCCTCCCGGCACCAGATGTTAGCTAGTATCAGTCTAGCATGACGAGTTGCCTCTAGCTAAGTTAGCGATCGGGGCAATACTCGTCGCAAGGCGGCAGGAGGCGGCAGTATGGAAAGAGAGGAAGCAACAGCCCATGAGTTGGAGGGTTTACGGGAGCCTATCGACACTCAACATCCTCTGGATTTCATCAAGAGTCTGGACAAGTGTAGTGCCATGGCGGGGACCTGTTGGTCTTGTCTGATGGCATCACATAGGGCCTCATGCGCGTCTTGGCTATCCCGTATGATGAAGCCAAGGCCACTGGATTCGTGTCTTTGTGTAATGAGTGGCACTAACTACTTATTAACCCGCAAGTTAAGGGGTCCAGATCGATGGCAGGAGACAGTCACGGCACCAGTGCCGAGGGGGCAGACGATGGCTTTGGGGGCTTTGCAGAGAATAAGTAATCAAGGAATATGAGGCGCACTATGATCAGCAGTTCGAGGCTCGATCGAACGCCTTTACCGCCGAAGATGAAAGCTTGAATAATGGACTCCTGAGTGATTGACGAGGTCGTGCTCGCTGATTATCGATGGGATTGCTCAATTAGAGCATGTGGGGTACTCGGGATAGGCTGGCAGACTGGGGATCGTATCGCATGGGGAATTTGGATGAGGCCGTCACACCGACAACCGGCCCCAAGCCTCCAAGTCCAAGCGTCCAAGGGGGCAGGCAGAGTCGGCACGGCGCTCTGGGGATTGCCAGGAAGCTATCTACTACGTATGTACTACGTACCGAAGTCCCATGTATGACAGCAGCACTAGCAATTCTAATTACTACATACGAGAAAAGGCAGGGCCCTAGGGATGGAAATAGAGTTGCTACCGAATTTGGGACGCGCCCAAATCTCCGTGGGTTCGTTACCTAATTGCCACCCCGGATCCAGGATGCTGCAAAAGGGGGAGCGCAGGCGCAGGCGCAGGTTGCCCCGTTGCTTGGAGCGGGCTTGGAGTGGACAACAGCCAAAATTGACAACAAGGCTAGCTCTCAGCAACGGTGAAGGCCCAGGGTTCGCGATGATGGTTCAAGCCGCCTTCATTGGACGTGACCGGGCTGGTCAGCAAACAGTCCGTGCCTACCCCGGGCTGTGTCCGCTTTGGGACTGGGGCCCCTGCAGGCCGTCAACGCCAATGCAGGTACGGATCCATGCGGATCCATAGCGAGCAGCGATCAGCTTCTTTAGTTTCTCTCAATTCAGTGGGATCGTCAGACTGCAACCTCTGGCCTGTCAGCATTCCTCGCGCGGGAAATGGGAAACAATGCTGGCAGTCCTTGGCCAATGGCGGAGGCGGTGGGGTGGTTTCCCTACTACGAGACGACATGGCGACGGGCATAGGTACCATACATAGCACTTGCCGAAGAGCACCAGAGGCAGCTAAGCTGTGAGCTCTAGGCGATGAACCACCGCTCGACGATCGGGGCGTGGTCTGGTTGGTATCTGCAGCGATGCCGCACTAAAGAATTGAGCGCCTGGTCGCTTAAATTGACAGGTTGCTTCTGGCGGGATTAAGCTTCTCTGAATCGTCGAGATCGTGCAACGGTGCAAGCGCCCCCCGACCCGAACAGGTACTACGGCACAGTGGAATCTGGACAGGATCGGGGAGCCCAGGCACGAGGCACGAGGCGCAGACAGACAGAGCGAGCTGACGAGAGGCTGCGGCGCCCGGCCAGCGAGTCGCACGGCAAAATAGCGCTGAGGTTGGAGTGGGATCAGGTTATTTTCGAGGTGGTGCCCTCGGCCATGGCGAGCGTGCCGTCGGTGGCTGGCCGTCTGGGTCTTTGGCAATTTCCCGGAGTCGCTTAACTTTGAAGTTTAATTTCCCACGAGCGTTGGCAGCACCCACTTGGACGCTTTCGGCCGCGCTAACTGGCGCCGAGCAGTCGACCGCTGTCCATCATCACAAATCTCCCTGCTCCTTTATTGACCTCGCTCGTTTTCCAGGGCAGCCAATGTCCCGTCCTGCGCCGCCGCGCGAATCATCCGCGCCCATGCGCCTATCGTGCCCTCGTGGCCCGGGGACACTCGTCACCCGGTATTAGTGCGCGCCGCTCATTCGCCCGCCCAGCGACGCGGCCAGCGCTGCTAACCTATCTGCCATCCAGCTGGCGTTATATTCGGCATCCGAACAGAGAGGCCCTGCGCACGATCCTGGGCATGGGTGGCCTGCCGAGGGGTCGACGACATTGGACGCCCCCCCGGTGGGCAGCCCGTGAGATGAGCTACTGTACATAGTAGACGAGCAAGGGGTGCCAGGGCCCCGGTCGTCCACGAGAGTCTGCGGCCGGGTTCCATGGTGGCCCTCCTACCAAAAGCATCCACCCTGTCCGGGCTGGCGCCTTGCCATAGAACGGGGTCTGGCACCCATCCATGAACCCATTAGCCATAATAAAACTGCCGGGTCTGCTCATCGATCAGCCCTCCTCTTCCCTTTTCCCCTCCCTCTTCACGGAAAGACCCTCTGATGTTGATGCTGTCGTCGTGATAGCGTCCTCCAGCTTTCGTCCTTCGTTTTCACTCCCACACACCGCTTCACTCTTTCAGCGGGCACTCGTTTCTCACGAAATCACGAATCCCTAAAACAGCAATCTACGTAATATTCACCTTGGAATCTAGTCCCCCGGGGTTTTAATAGAAGGAATCATGAAGGCAACATTCGCAGTCGCCGCCGCGGCGGCCCTCGTCGGAGGCGTCAGCGCCAGCAACGTTCACCGTCGCCACGTTCACGATTCGTTCCACGGTCTGGAGAAGAAGGCTCTCAGCAACGACACCTGTGGCTGCACCACCATCTACTCCACCTACTACGGTGAAGCTACTCGTGAGTGCACCCCAGTGCCAGGAGAGAAACAGCACCTCGCGGGGTGTTGTTGCTTCCTGCATAGTATGATACAGTATAGCTTGATGACTAACATGCGCCCTATAGTCCACCCCAACCCTCCTCCCTCAACCAGCACCAAGGTCGTCCCCACCACGACTGCTGCTCCTTCGACTTCGACCCAGGTCGTCGTCGTCGTGCCCACTCCCGTGGCTCAAACTTGCCCGACCCCTGGTGTCTACACTTTCCCGGCCACCACCGTCACCCTGACGGCCACCACTACCGTGTGCGCCGCTTCCACCACCGCAGTTACCAGCGGAACCCACACTCTGGGAGGTGTCACGACCGTTGTCTCGACCGCCACCACCGTCACCTGCCCCTACGCCACCGTTTCCACCAGCGAGGGCGTCGTGACCAGCGTCATCAAGACCACCACCTACGTCTGCCCCTCGGCCGGTACTTACACCATTGCGCCGACCACGACCGCTGTCACCAAGGACACCACTGTCGTCGTCCCGGTCGTCAGCACCTACTGCCCCGGCACCTACACGCAGCCCGAGATTACCACCACCATCACCGGTACTAGCACTGTCGTCTACTGCCCCTTCGATATCCCCACCACCTCGGCTGTCCCCGTCTACTCGACCTCGCCTGCCACCTCTCCCGTTGCTACTTACCCTGCCACTTCCGCTCCTGCCAGCTCTGCCAAGCCCTCTCCCAGCGGTCTTCCCTCGGGTAAGGGTGGCGCTCCCTGGGCCATTACCTACACCCCCTACGACAGCAATGGCAACTGCAAGAGCGCCAGCGCTGTTACTGAGGATATCAAGGCCATCTCCGAGAAGGGCATCAGCACCGTCCGTGTCTACTCCACTGACTGCGACACTCTGCCCAACGTTGGTAGCGCCTGCGCCGCCCACGGCGTCCGCATGATCATCGGTATCTTCATCGATGCCCCTGGCTGCACTGCCAACAACCCCACCGTCTCCCAGCAGATCAGCTCCATCAAGTCGTGGGCCCAGTGGGACATTGTCGACATGATTGTTGTTGCCAACGAGGCCCTCTTCAACGGCCACTGCCAGCCCAGCGAGCTTGCTGGCCTCATCAGCCAGTGCAAGTCTTCCTTCTCCGGCTACACCGGTCCTTACACCACCACCGACACCACCGGTGAGTGGCAGAAGGATGAGGTCAAGGGCGCCCTCTGCGGTGTCGTCGACCTTGTCGGTATCCAGGCTCACGCTTACTTCAACACCGAGACCACCGCCGCCCAGGCTGGTGACTTCGTCCTGACCCAGCTTCAGATTGCCAACACTGTCTGCCCCGGTAAGGAGGGCCGCGTTTTGGAGACTGGCTGGCCCTCCGCCGGTGTCTGCAACGGCGCTGCCTGCGCAGGTGAGGCCGAGCAGGCTGCCGCCATCTCTTCTCTCCTCGAGAAGGTCGCAGATGTGTCCGTCTTCTTCAGTCTGACTGATGACAAGTGGAAGAGCGCCGACACCGACTGCAAGTGCGAGCAGCACTGGGGATGCAGCAGCGCTCTCGGCCTCAGCGGCCTCAGCCTGTAAGCATTAGACTACTTGGGAGGTGAATTTCCCTCACGCATCTTGTACATGATCACGTTCTTCATTTTGCATACCTGGACAAACTCCTTGGACATGGGACAGCGCGCGGCGTGAAACGGTTGGGATATCAACAGCTCAGGGGAGGACAAAGAAGCGATCCACCACAAGCTCGATCGCGTCCGGCGTGGCTTTATATATAATCTTCCCTCTGGTGGTCGGGTTATGGGGGTGTCTTACACAGATGCGTGGTTGAGGGCGATTCAACCAAGCAACATTACGTGCCACAAAGTCCCCTGGCTGTCAAATTAGGGTCTGATTCATAATGTTGTAATTTACTAGTGTCTATTATGGATGTCGCTGTTTTACGCAACCAAACTTTTTTTTACCCTTCACAACGTCTTTGGTGTGCAACCCTCGCAACCAAGTACTCCCTTGCCATTTTCTTTCTATACCCCCTCACGTGCTTACTGCGTCTGTGGGCACAGCGAATCCCCCCTGAGGTCTTAGACTTCTCAGCGGGGTTGCTGTTTCTGATATAACACCATCTTTCTTGAACCCCCCTGTCCCGACTCACTAAGCCTCGTGTATACTCTGCAGAACGTGACATAGTGTATAGTAGCCCTTCCCTCTACAGCTTGAAGAAACTAGCAGCCCGCGACCTACAGTGTGGTCTAGACTGATAACCCCTCGTCGTCAGAACTGACATTGTCCCACTCCTCCTGGTCCCACGTACGCCCTTATATATTGTGTTCTTTGGATGTTTCTGACTGCCAGCGGAGCCGCTAGGTTCATCGTGACCCACCGGGTCCATTCAGCTTGCCGGTTGTAGCGAAATGGACACCTTCTCAGGGAGATTGTCGGACAGTCTCCTATGCTTTTGGGTTGCCGCCGTTGCCGTACTGCACTGCACCTTGACATTGCAGCGCTTGTTGACATGAAACCTGATTCAGCCAGAGGCACTATCGTACATAAATCATAGAACTGGGGCACCAACAAACATGGCCAAGTATGCAAGACTGAACATTAGCGGAGCACGACAATGAAAGAAAGGCTCAGCTGTCTCCTAGAACGGATGGCACCGCTACCGTCGCGAACACATTGCGGCGTTTCTTCACGTGGATGATGTAGTTGTGATATTTTATCTGGTCGATGAGAAGTTGTCTTACGTCCCCCAAATTTACATGATGCTAGAAACGCGGTGCAGCCCTCCCGCTCCTTTCGATATGCTCCTTTCGATATGAGGTAGTCCTTCCATTCCTGACCTTCCATATATGCAGCAGCAAGTAGCCCAGATTGATGCCTCGCACTGTCGTGTTATATATAGTATGTGTCGACTTTCGTCGGGGTATATGCCGTCAACCAATCCTTAAATTCCAAGCTTCCCAACTTTCCGAGCTGCCTTATATCCCGAAACAGGACCGACAGCCCCAATGCTAATGCGGCCAAATGCATATGCTGCCAAAACCATGCATATGAATCAACGAACAAAGGAAACTGAAACGGGTGAGGGCAGCCACTGTCGCCGCCGTGGCCTCGAATGCATCTATATCCCGCAATTCCCATGCCCAATTTCGTATGCTTCGTAAAATAAAACATTCGAGATGCCTTAAAACATGTGGGGGTTGTCCACGATAGCCGCTCTTCTTCGACGGCCATTCACTGTGCCTAGATAGTCCGGCTGTGCGACAATTTCGGAGTTCGAGGCCCAGTCGTATTCATTCGATCGCCACCAGTTCCAGTGCTGGGAACTTTGGTTCTGACCAGTGACGTTGAACATATCCTCAGCACCAGCGTCGCATCGATCGAATTGGATCAGCCCACCCCGTGCCGGATCGCAGACCAAGGCCATCAAACTGCGACCCTCGTCTGCGAAAGCCGTTCCGCCAATTTCACCGAAGAGTTCCAACTTTTGTTCAGTATCGAAAGTCTGGGCATCAATGGCGTGGATCGTGTCTGCCTCCTCGGCAGCGATCAACAATCTCTTTCCAGAGCCCAAAGGAGAGAAACGAAGACTTCTGGCGCCAGACATGTCCATCCGTAATACGGCCACGGGGCAGCCCTGACCCGTGTGGCTGCTCCTCCATTTTCGAGCATCCCAAATCCGTACACTTTTATCCTGGAAGCCCGTGGCAACTGTCCACCCATCAGGAGCCCATGCGCAGGCAAAGCCGAAGTCTCGATGACCACTCAGATCCTGGAGTGTCTCCCCCGACTCGGCGTCAGTGATGAGCACGTTGGTGTAATCACCCACCATGACGCGTAGCCTGTGGTCGGCGCTTATGGCTGAGCAATTCAGAGCAAACTTGAACATAGTCTCAGAGAGAACATGGTTCGTGTTCAGGTCCACGGTCCTGAATCCGAAATCGTTAGACGCAAAAGCAGCTATTGGTGTTGAGGATAAGCGGCTTGAATGAATCTGGACGTGATTCGTGATGCCGCTCACGTTGTCAGTTAATTTGCCCTGTGTAAATGATCGGTCTTCCGAGTTGACATTGCGAAAATGGTAGTCCCCCATAAAGCCACCAACTACGAGGACATCGTTGCTAGTAGCCAGCGTAGATACGGTTACATCGCTGTCGGCTTCAAATTTCATGGCCTTCTTAGTCCGGCCTGTGGTTGGGTCGATCTCTCTGATACAACCAGGGCTGGGAAAGAAGGCGCGGGTGCGTGAGGTGCATCCCAGAATGTTTCGTAGCTGGAAATGCAGCAAAGAGGCATCTCGCCGCATATTCATACTATTAAAGCGGAAGTAATTCTCGCGAGGGACAGCAAGTCGATCCGGTAGGGCCGGCTAGGAGAGATATGTCAGAGGTAACACGGGGCCTCTCGCTCATGAAGACTTACATGCCACTTGTCCGAGCCGTCCTTGTTCACATAGTTATTGTAAGTAGCACGGCGACGCTCCCTTGCTTGCTTCCGCGTGACGCCGAGGTCTTCCCAGTCTATACCTTGGAGATCATTCTGATCTCCATTCAGCTGGTCATAGCTGATGCGATCTGCCGTCGGCTTCTTCGTAAGTTCGGACACTCGGTCTATCCGGGGCTTCGCCTGGCGAGGCTGTTGCAGTCGCTCCATACGAGCCCACATACGCAAGAATTGGACGAGATCCAGATTATCCGGCCCGAGGGACATGGGGTTGGGGTTGCTCTGGGGCATTGGATGCATCTCGGCAAACTCGTCCTCCAGGTCATCATTGACCGCAGTCAGCAGCTGCTGGAACTGCGCATGTTGAGGCCCGCCGTTCAAGAGTGCCTGTTGCGCAAATGCAGGTAACTGCGCGAATGGGTGCGCTACCGCTGGAATCTGGATATGGGGATGGACCTGCGGAACAGGCATCGGGACGGGAACCACGGCCAGGGTCGGCGTCGGTGCGGTTGACGGCGACCCGACGGTGGGGTTCCAGGTGTCAGTGTCAGAAAGTGGCATCTCGTGCTCAACTTCGAGGAACATGGCGTCGTCCTCGAACGGTTGCCCGCCGGGGGAGAGGGTATGGGAAGCGCTCTCCATGGCGTTGGCTACCAAGGGCGGTGCGGTTCCGTCGCCGTCGACATGGACAGCCGTCAGAGGCGCCCCGCCGTCTTCGTCTTCTGCGTCTGTCATGTCGTGGTCCTCGCCATCGCTGGCGCTGTCCGAGGCTTCGCTGTAACCTGAGCCGCTGGGTTCAGACCAGGCCTGGCTTTCATGGCCTGACATGAGCACGAGATCGGGAGCCAAGGTCAAAGAGTATGAGCTCGGGATGGTGCTGGTCGAAGAGGATGCGCCGCCGTTATCTGCACCTATGGTTGGGGTAGGCTTAGCGTCGACAGGGCAGTGAAGCATGACGATGGCTAGCATCTAGTCCGGTGGAGAAAGGCGGTGGCGCCCCCTAACTTAATGGACTGGCTACCTGAAGGTAGTTTGCGCTGGCCCCGAGGGTCGCTGCAATGGGCAGAGTCAATTGCTTCCATGCAAGGACTCTGGCGGATAACCGAGGCTGAGAGCAGGAGGTCGACCTGCAGCCACACTGCACGGCGGGCGCACTGAGTCAAGAACCGGCTACCTGGGGAGAACCAGACGGGGAGACCCAAATGATGGACGGGAAGGGTCTCGGTCACACGACGTGGAGCGGTTCGAGCTGCGCCGGTGTCCAGGAGAGAGGTGCCAGAGCGAAGAGGCGGCAAGCTGAGGATAAGACTCCGTACTTGAGAGGATGCCCGGACCCAGCAATGTGGAGGGGGAGGGCTAGTGGGTGGCCTATGTAGTTAGGGTGCCGGCGGGCAAGGATCGATTGTCGGGTCGGGAAGTCTGGGGAACGAGATCTAGTTGCACCACAGCTGCATCGTCGAGCTGAGTGCAGAGTCCACAGCCTTTGTGCGCAGGGGAGCGAGGGACGTGGCCAGGGCCGGGAAGTGCGTCGGGGAAATCGTATGAGAGAATTGGACGTATGTGGCTCCCGTGCAGCGCACGATTACGGAGAGCTTATTGTTATTGCCTAGGTACCTCTTGTAAGGTGTATTCATTATTGCTGCGGCGCGGTCCGCTGCTTGCGGCAGGTGACTACCTACTCGAGTACGTCTGTACTTGATGGCTCCAAGCACAGAGCTGGCCAACCCGCCACTCGAGGTTGGCAGGAAAGGGTCCAAACTGGGCGACGGAGGCTGGTTTGGCAATGGCACGAGTTCGTAGCCCGTACCGCGACAGACCGAATCAGGGTGCGATCCAGGCGGCTCTACAACCTTGGCCTCGTCCAGTGCTGCGCAAGTGACAGCCAACGGCATCAATGATCCTGGCTCGGCTCGAGGCTCCACGTCCCAGCAGTCCAGTGCGGAGGGGCGCTACGTGAGTGATATAGTATCCTGGTCCCGTCCAGCTCCCAGCTCGCTCAGACATGCCCCAAAATCCAACGACTCAGACAACTATGCAGTCACTTGCTCTGTGGTGGTCAGCGACAGTAGCATCATCTGTCCGCTCTTATTATTCCCGGGCTGGTACTTTCCCCAAGTCGGGCCCTTCTGCTTGCAAGGAGACATCGTCTCTGACCAATTCCGGCCGTGTTCCCCTCTGGCGGGCGGCTAAGCCCAGTGTCTGCGCATCTGCACGGCGACGAAAACGGGTGTAGTCGATAAATGTGGCACCCTGCCAGTCACGTACACGTAGTGATTAATCATTTTTCTGGCCCCGTAGCCGTTTGACCGTTGTCTGCCAGAACTTCAAAGGACAATGCATTGTCGGCAATGTCTCGTAAGCCTTTTCTGACCGGTCATCCCAAGACAGAAGCAATCATCGGCACGCGGGCCCCAACAATACCCGAGGTGTGCATTATATATCCATTGACACCTAGCGAAGGGCACACACATGTGGACGAGTGCATGATTCGCGCGTCTCTGTTGGTAACCCGTCGTAAGATTTTCAAACCTTCCATAATTGCTTTTGGGGGCACAGTAACCGGGGTCGAATCACTATTGGAAAACATGTTCTTTAGAATAATTTGCGGCGTTTCGCCCAAGTACACCTTCCCTCCACCTTCCTTTCTTCCACCAAAAGCCTAACTTAGAGATCAGCAGTACATAGTGTGAAATACTACTTAGCCTTGACGACGAGGCCCAAAACAAGCTTCTCGCTCATTCATAACCTATAGAGGTAGCTCGACGCGACAGGCCCCTTTCTCTCATAGCCTGCACCAATCACATACATCAGTGCCACTCAGCAAGATGCGGCCCATGTACAGTGCTACATATCGGCAGACACGAGTGGCGGCCCGAAAGCCATGGTATGGTTGGTATCCAACCGCGCCATCTGCCAAGAATAGATGACACCATTACATTCTAGCTCTCGTCGACAAGTAGGCAAGTCACCCCTCTTTGCCGCTGGTGTACTTCCGAAAGAAACCCTTCATCTTCTTCCGTAATTTTGCAGCACATGATTTGGGCAGCGGGCAATTCTCTTTACTTCCAGCAATGCATGGACATTATCCGTCTATTGTTGCCAATGGCCCTTACTCTCACTGTCGTTCCTCACTCCTAGTGCAGGTACTTAAGCATTACGTTGGATGGCAGTATATGATCAAGAACATGTTTTTCTTATATGCTTTATTGCCTAGAAAAAGGTTGAATGTAGGTCAAAATAAGAAATAAATAGGAAACCCGAAGGAAAGCAGCCTCTATATCATACTACAAAGAACCGTAGCCACTGCGCAATGTTTCTGTCCATCTCACCAGCCCTCTAAGAGTCCAAGTTGAAATCGAAGCTGCCAATGTCATTGTCGCCAATGGACTTCTTGAGGTAGTCAGCGTAGATGGCAGACTCGATCTTGCACTTGATTCCGGTGCTGGCCCAGTTCTGGATCATCTTGTCGCGGAGTTCCACGGAGGGATAGCCCCAGAATCCAACAAGGGCACCCTGAATCCAGCTGCCCTTCGCATTCTCAATCTTGTCGTCACCATCATTTCCGAATCTGAAAGCATGGGTACCCGCTCCGACTTTGTTGTAGATAACCTTGGCATGGTGGTCTGGTGGATACTGTCAGTGTCTTGTTCTGCTGAGCAGCGGATCGAGAGTAGATGTAGTCACTCACCCTGAAAGCGAACATCGCTAGCTTTCTTGGTCTCGTAGCCGTCGTGCTGGGACACGGCAACGTAGCTGGGGTGGTCGTCACCATCCTTCACCCAGACAACGACATTCTCCCACTCGTAACGATGTCCCGAGGCGACACCGGCCACGTGCTCGAGGCCGACATCCTTCTGGAAGTAATGCTCGTACATGTAGGCGCACCAGCCGTTGTTACAACGAGTTCGGGCATAGACGTTCTGGTTGTCGAGGTACGACGCAGTGCGGCACCCATCGGCGGTGTTGGTCGTATACGTGTTTTTGAGGCCCTTGTCGAGGTTTCCTTGGGCATCGATGGCAGGAACATTGTAGCAGCTGTCTGTGTCGTAATCCAGGACGGGCTGGAACTTGAGGTCGTTATCAGAGGCACTCTGTGGCAAAGCAGTTGGAGGGATGTCGGAGTCCCGCTTGATCTGCTGAGCTGGGATGGCGCTGGCGCTGACAAGCGAAGATAGTAGAGCAACGCCGCTGGCCATCTTAATGTTCACCATCTTCGCAGTCAATAAATGGTAACTTGTAGAAATTGGTCTCAGGCTGAGTTTTCTTGGAGATGAGGAAATGCTTGCGAGCTGAAGTCAGGATGTTGTTGGCTGTGATGAGAACCTACTTTCAATCGCGCCAACAGCTTTTACTTATACAAGTTTCTTTTTTTTTCAAAGTCCATATTCTTCCTGTCAATGGCGATTTCGTAGTATCCACGTGAATCTGAACCGGTGTAGAATCTGGACATTTCATCATCTCCCAACGGTTCCACGAAAAATCTATTTCGGCACTAATCACCGTGTTGCTTCTCAAGCTGTTACGCACCATGTCTACCATCGATATTGGATCTTCGCCAATAACGAGGCTCGTGGAGGACACTACGGAAGGGCCAGAGCATCGCGTTACCTCATGGTAGGATTACAGTACTCCTGAAATTCTAACATCAAGCCTACGGCAATAATACCACAGCAGAGGTCGCTAGCCTGGATATTACCACCAAAACCACCGTCCCAGGGCATATCATACGGTCCAAGCTGGGGCTTTTCACAGTTGGTCTTCTATTATGCACTAAAACTTAGCTTGCTCGAGTTTCTATTTTAAGACACTGTCACGAGATAAATTCGGTAACGGAAAGCATTCATTCGCGAATTTTATACGCCCTACGTTTGGCCAGACTATAAGGGTTCTGAATAGTTAGTGAACCGCCTAAAATCTGGTCTCAATCATACCCGTGATCCGAGCCTATCGGCGCTTTGCGCATCCAACAAGTAACGGCACTTAGAGGTAGCTCAACCCGAATGTCTCTACTCGTAGGTTTTGAAAATATCGACCAGCATAGAGAAAGTTTACTTCCATTGCGTAAGCTGGTCTCATTCAATTGATTTGTTTACATGGTTTGATATGTTATATCATGGTTCCTTACATAGATTCATACTGACTTAGCGTCACGACTTAGGCTTGCCCCTGGCAAAAATGTTAGCAGCTGAAGTCTTGAAAATACTCCATAGGGCCACGCAACCTTTGGCCACACAGAGCGTTTCCCAGTCTCCCATAAACAGGATCACCACGGCCTTGTTGTGGAGGGAGTCGAGGAGTGGCATCCTGGAGGAGAATTATGGGTACGGTCCTCATCTAGTTTTAGGAGACAAAAATAAGACGATTTAGCGGCTCTGCCGCCTCCTATGGATGAAACAACCCGTGCGCTTTAAATCATCCTTCACTAATCGTGTGACCAGACCAACCATGAATAGACTGTATACTCACTACCCGAAGGAGCGCCGACATCATGTTTCATTGTGCTCCTTGCTTCCAGAAGAATAGACCTGGAACAACTTATTTTGCCCAAAGGGCCAGGAGGATTCTACTAACTACCAATCCACCGTGCTTTGCTTATTCAAGGCAGAACAGTGCTCCTCCTTGTTCAAGCAATGTTGTATGGGTCTAGTTCGATGGTTGGCAGTCGGAAGCTGCAAGGGAGAGGGTTGGTGTTCGCTTGTAGTTGTCCCTCACACTCTAGCCATGGAATGCGTTGACAAGCTTCCCTCAGCATTATGCACCGTACAATGCACTGCAGAAATCTTCTCTTGCATACCATTCTTGTGTTGTCCCGAACCTACAATAGGATATATCGCTCTTCTTCGCGGTTAGAGAGTCTAGACATGTCTGTATCCCCAGCCACCGCCAGTCTTGACGGCTGATGCATCCAGTTGATGTAACGGGATTATCACCGAGGCCTCCATTTCCGTCTGCTCTGCAGCCCGTCTATGCAAAGACCCGAGCGATGCTACAAGTCATCTGACACGAACCTCGGGTAGATGCATATTCGAGCTGTACCACGTGCATGCCATGATAAATCGCATGATTCTGGCAAACTTACAGCGCACCTGAGCGAAGCGCTGGGCCAAGACAGTCGTTCATCGGAGCCAATGCATGTTCTGTCTACTGAGAGCGAACTATCGATCATATTGTATCGCTCTACCGATGGCATATTATGCTGAACCGTAACTTCATGTGTTCTTTTGCCTCGAACTCTTGTCATTGATACTTTCTTCGGATTGATACTGGCGACACGCCGAATGCATTGGACCTGTATAAGTCAATACAGGCAATACTGTACGATTCGCTGACCCTACAAGCTGACCAACCAAGATAGCCCTCATGAATCCAAAGTTATATCGGTGTGTTGACTTGCCCGTATCCTCCCTGCGGTCCCTTCAAATCATCACACTCAACACAGTCCCTTACACCCAATCCAGCCATGCCGACGAGGTCCTCAAGAAGACAAGCGCCCTCGCGAACGACGCGATGGGCCGGCTCCTCGCCGTCCGGAGTCATCAGGGCCAGCGTGACGCTCTCCTCCCAGTAGTAGGTGCTGTGGCCGCCGCGGCTGCGGTTGGGGGTGTCGCCGGCCCAGAGGAGGCCGTACTTGCCGCCGCGGATCCAGGCGGCGTCGCTGGCCGTGGGTAGGGTGATGTGCGCGAGGCCGGTGACGAAGTGCACCCACTGCGGCTGCGCGTAGTGGCGGCCGCCCTCGGACCGGGCCGGGATCACGGTCAGCGTCGCGTTGGCGGCGGCGCCCAGGAACGCATATGACCCGTTGGCGACCCCCGGCGACGCCGAAACCGCGAACGGCGACGGCAGCTGCCAGCATTGTAGGACGGACTCGCCGCCGGCGTGCGTCACGGCCGTCACGTTGAGGTAAGGGAGGGAGGTCGCACGGACAGCCATTCTCAGGATGCTCAGCGCCAGTGATAGAGAGTGATGCAGTTGCATGATAGTTCCCTTGATATATGCCTTAATGTGGTTGATCAAGTTTGGGTGGACCGTTTGAGTAGATAGAGACTGGCTGGTCACTTGCTAGAGAACCAAAGTAGTAACATTTTATACAAGACACTTGAACTTGATTCAAAGTAGCCGTTTTGTTTTCCGACATACTACTCCCAGTGTCCGTGCCGCCAAGACGTTCAGTAATTCAGTTCTTTTTATTTCGGGTCGTGCATATGTCGTTACAGAAGTAAATATGTCGCAGCGACCAGAAGCCGGATTCTGTTGTGCTTGATTGCCAGGGTTCACAACCGACGGGAAATGCATGTTGTGTTATGGGCCGATGAGATGCTGACTATTTGCCCCTGAGAAAGGAGCGGAACGTACATCGGGTGCTTCTGAGGGAGAAGGAATCTCAATCCCCTTACTAGTGATTTCATACTCTTTGCTTCTTTATCAAGTTTCATCGAATCGCACATCGAGTTAAGGGAGAAACTAGGCCAACAAAATTTCATAACAGGAATGCGTACGTATGAATTAAGAGGTAGCAATACTAATGTGCTCCTTGACGCTATATACACGCTTTCGCAGTAGTGGCGTCGCTTGCCCCCGAAAGACGCCTTGCCAATGCCGAAAATCATTTTCTATACAAAAACCCAGCCTGTTATCCGCCGCATCGCATGAAACGTAACCCGGAGACTCAGACACTATACGACCACCCCGAACAATTGTGTGACCAATGCGTCTCTATTCAAAGCAAAATGAACCAGGCATCCAACCGTCTACTGCTGCGGCTAGCCGTTGATGGAGCAAATTAGGCGTCTGAGTAATACTGGTCGTCATATGGGTGGCGTTGAGGCATATCTGGAGTCACAGACCAGGTACCCCCAGCTATGCTCTCCCTCGATTGCCAGTAGTTGTCCCTCAAGCGGCGCTCCCGCTCGAATTCCGCCCATCGCTTCATTGTAATCTTACTGCTGTCGAATTCACCTTCATACTCAAGACCAGCCTTCTTAGTCTTTTCGCCTGCAGTCTTTCGAGTGTCGCCCCAAGAGAAGTCGTCGAACTTCCAGAAAGCATAGGTTGGTAGGACAAAGTTCCAGATGGGCAAAGAGCAGAGGTAGATGAACATCCAAACGACATACGACCACGAGTGGGCCGTGCACACAATTAGAACAGCAGGGAGACCCAGAATCAAACCCAGAAGTACCAAGGGGATGATCTGGGGTGGCGAGTGGACAATTGAGATGATGACTGGCGCAAAGAGTTAGTGTTTGAAGAAGTGTGCAAGTATCATGACGTGTACTTACCGACATAGAAGGTGAAAGCAATAGCGGCCGGAAGGACGAGCGTGCCGATTAACTCAATGAAGACGATAAACTGCATACTGAAGCAGAAAGTTCCACAAAGATCTTTGACCAGGACCAGCTCCATCAGATTGTGAATAGTTGAGTTGATCCATCTGCGGCGCTGGGACAAGAGAACCATGAACTCGTCCGGGACAGTCGTTTTGCAAACAGCCTGAGGAACGAAAACCTGCTTTCGCTTGGGGAATGTGCGTAGCATAAGAGTCGTTAGGTATCGATCCTCACCAAGTAGCAGCAGATTCTTCTTGTGGAGGGTATCGACTGTGTTCTCGGAGTAATGCTCAACAATGTCGGGGTTGGCGAGAATAGGAACCCAATAATTCTGAGCACCCTTGGGCGACTTGATACGGTACATACAGAAACAACCAGGCAAACATGTAACACCACCAAAGACCGATTCAAAGGACTTTGAAAGATGGTGAGAGATGAAGTATTCGAAGACTTGGATGGCGGTGACCCAGCTGTCTCTCTTGTTGGCAATCTTGGTCTCACCACAGAGACCCATGATATCGGGATCCCGAACCATGGCGCAGAGCATGTGAGTCAGACTGTCGGGGAAAACCTTGGTGTCGGCATCCACCATGAGAACCGCTTCATAGTAGTCGGGCGAGATACCGGTAACCTTCCAGAGGCCGTTGAACATCTCAAACTCGAGTTCAGTCATACGCTCATCAAACATGACTTTTTGCAAGAACGACATGAGGATAATCTGGCTGTCGCGCTTGCCACGGTTTCCTGGTTTTGCCTTCTTGGCTTCGTCGGGCGTACCACATTTAGATACGAGCATCATCGGCACCCTTTGCTGCTTCTCCAGTGGGATAGCAGACTTGGCACCATAGTCGTAGAAGCCAGCGTAGATCTTTGCCATATTGTGTCGCTTTGAGCCACTCGCAACGGCAACATACGAGAAAGCGTCAACTTCCTGTGGCGGCATTGTGTGATCCTTCATCATCCCAAGAATAATATCGGGGGTCGTCATGGTTTCGCCCTTGCCTTTAATGAGACCATCGCAAATAACGAGGATGACTTTGTGGCTGTTGGGGTAATCGGTTGTAGCAATGGAATCCAAAGTTGTTCGAATACCATGCTCACCCTCAGAGTAAGCCGTCACGAGACAGATAGAGTGAATCAAGGGGAATCCAAAAGGCTGGAAGTCGGAGGGAGGTTGTGGCACGACTGCTTCATGAATAAAGCCGGCGGGACCATATCCATCATTTGGACTCACGCGACTAGCGTAGGGATCTGAGTTGATGAAACTGGACCTGCTGTCATTCGTGTCTCTGTACATTGAGCCAGGGTGAAGAAGTGGACCAGTCGAGGCTTGGCTCGCCATAGTTGTGGGCAGAGGACGTCGCTGGGTGCGATCGACACCGTAGGCTGCCGAGAAGCGCGAAGTCGTGGGTAGGAACGTGCTCGCTCGCTTGCTGGTTCTGTCGGAACCACCTACGCTACTCGAGAGATCGCCGTTCAGTCGTGGCGGTGCTCGGTAGATATCTTCACTCCAGTCCTCAATCTGTTTGTTTCGCTTCTTCTTGTTGCTTGACTGCGAGGTTTTGATCGCGGCATATCTCGAGCTGATGAACCATTGGAAAACAACTGCCAACACGAATCTGACGAGAACAACCGACAAGATAAGGACGAGCGATACATACAAGACAACCTGAGATGCAATGCAGCCCACAGTGTCCGTATCAACGCTGCCGACCTTGATGATCTCCTCGAAACATTCGGCAACATGCTTGTCACCAGTTGACTGGAATGCTCGCGTGACATCACGACCATGAACAGCAGCGTTGGCCGCAGTGCTCCGGTCCCTCAGCTCCTTGAATCGATCCGGAATTACAACCTGGGTTTCGTCAAACCAGTTTAGGAGGTCCAAGTCAAGAACATTGCCAGAATACACAATGAGATTTCGGCTGCTGTTCTTGATGTCGGCCCACTGGTAGAAAACATCTGCTGTCCCTTTTGTGTCGAGATAGAACCTGTCTCGGGCAACCTGACTTGTATGGCAAGCATATCCGTTGTAGTACTCCTCTGTCACATTAGGCTTTGAGGAACCATCCTGGTTGTACGCGCGACAGGGAAAGTACCAAGCTAAGTCCCCGTTGTCGTTGGTGGGAATATCCGAGTTGCTCGCAAGAGTAATCTGGTCTTTGCACTTGCCGTTGACGTTCTGGAAGAGGAAACTCCCATCCATGCCTCCGTACTTTACCGGAAGATCGGTCAAAACGTTGGGAAGCTTACCATTCACCGTCAGCGGAATGCCCTCGGCCACCGGGTGCCCAGAGCGGGTGAGATCATAGGCAACACCGTGGAAGATCATATAGCCTAGTCCAACTTCATTTACGTGAAGTCGGATATTCGTAGAGCCACAGACGACCTGAGTGAAGCCGAATGTCAGGAAACCAACAAAGCCCATGATCAACAGAATGATGCTGATCAAGCCCATTTTCTCCCGCCATGCTCGCTTTTGCGCCTTGGCCTTGAAGCCACAACAGCCCAGGATGAAGTCAGGGCACCAAAACGTGATGATGGCGCAGTATACGTTCCATACACTGGGTGGCTTGATAATCTCCTGGGATTTCTCTTTCTTGGATTTCTTGGTCGTCTTTGATAGCTTTCCGGCTTGTGATCGCCTTCTTCGTGCAGAGTCGCGCGGTACGGCCTTTTCATCGTCGCCACTGCGCTTCCTCCGGGGCGCCGAGGTATCAGAGGTTCCATCGAGGGTTCTCCGGCCTCCAGACACGTCGGTGGTCCCCTCGAAGTCCTCGAAAATCGGATCATTGCCAGTCGAGGATGGCAGGACCTCCATATTCGACGCATGTTTCCGGTAGTGGTAGTTTGGGTGATCTTTCCCGATTTTGTTCCTTTCCGGTCGTATCAAGCTCCTCTTGCGCCCCAGAGGCTGCCCTTCGGCAGAAAATTCTGTCTGGTCCAAGGTTGGTGAAAGGGGCAGTCTCTCTGTGGTCCCATTAGGATTCTGTATGGTCTCGGCGGATATTCCTGATTGCGCACGCTGGTGGCCATGTCGCGCGACCGGGTAATAACCGCCCGTCTCGACATCCGTGGGGCGGTTGCGCCGCGAGGGAGACTGCCGGTACGAGGTGCGCTGTTCATAAGACGCCCTTGCCCCGGGTCTCTCGGGGAGTGACATGTTTCTGGATCTCTCCGCGTTAGCTAAGGGATCATGATTACAGACAGGGCCCAGGAAGCGCAGGGAAGAGCGAGGCAAAGGGTTGGTGTTCGGTGGGCAAATGGGCAGCGAGGCGGATTGGGGACGGCTACTGAGAGCGAGGGAGCACGGACAAAGAGGTTTGTGGAAAACGCAGTCCTCGCCAACGCCAACGCGGAAATGACTAGTGTCGTGCCTCGTAACAAACAATACAGAAGAACGACGCAGAGCAGCGACGACAAGAATGCGAAGAAGAGGCTGAGAGAGCGGGCGAGGGCCTGATGGAGACAACTACATCACCCAGGCTGGTGCGCAGGAGCAATGTTGTTTCGCAGCAAGAAAGACTACCTACGGCTTGTTGTGGTGGGCAACTGGACACAATGGAGGTCAGCTGCAGGCTTAAGGGAGGATCCCTGCTCTTAGCCACCAACTCCACCGGCGCTGCGGCGTCAGAAACCAAGGCAGCGACAAGCGCGAAGCCAAATGCGCTGGCTGATGCAACGGGCTTTCCTAATTCGAAGGCCTCTTCCTTTTTGCGAAACCCAGCTGCCGTGGCCAGTCTTGGGCGATGGCACTTTGGGTCAGGAAGAGAGATTGGGGGTCGCTATTGCAGCTCCAAGGGGGTGAATGGCATCGTATGCTGTCCCTACAGGCCTCGGGCGGAAGGGGGGGGCTCTTGGCTGGGGTTAACGAGGGATCCAGATGGCGATGAAGGCGCAGCTTGCGTTGATCTGCAGGCAAAGAGGTCCAGCCGGGTCCGAGAGGCTTTCGTCTCAATGGGCAGCAGTTGGAACCTTCGCTGTCAGTCGCGGTCGCCCCCAAGATGCCGTCGATGGCAAGAAAAGGCTGGGCAGTCGCTGCAGGATCCAGTCGGTGTCTTAGAGACGTCGCTGTTTCAAGTAGATTCACCGAGTGATTACTTAAGAAGTTGTGAAAGACAGAGTAACGAATGTCGATATAATGAAAATGATGCGGGTGAATATGGATCCCGCATGGGTAACGTAGAGCATCAACGACAGAAAGAAGATGGACCGCTGGTAACAATGGAGCAGATGACAGCGAATACCTCGGAAGCGACCATGAAGAAAAAAAGGCCCATCCGGGTCGGCCACAGGGGCGCGTCGGTGCTGGAAAGGGGGCTACCAACAGCAGCATCTCAGCGCGGAGCGTGGCACACTGTGCTGCCCCTCGGGCGCAACCCGCATTGCTTGTCCTTCTCGTGTTCCTGGCCTGTCTGGGAACAGTGCAACGCCTGGCCGACTCGATGGATATCTGCGGGCGGCTAAGCAGCCGATCGATGCACTAACAGAAGTAGATCCTGGTAGCCCTGCTCTCGACTGTGTGTCCAATCTGGGGAAAATCGTAGGGAGATGTGCCGCGAGGTACCTTGAGAGACCTCCCCCCCGCCAATGCATTAGAAGATCCCCATTTAGCTCAGGAGATCCTAGTCCACTGCAAGGATTGTTGGCCTGCCGACCGTCCTTGGATGCTGGCTGCCCTGGCTACTATGTAGGTAACTGTATGAGATGCCTACGATGGCAAACTTTACTCACACCTACTACGAGTGGAAAAAGCGCATCTTCGCCGGTGTGTTGCTTGTGTTGGCCGCTCGCAAACCATGGGATGAAGCCTCTTGTCTCTGGGAGGATGGGCTGCGGACTTTTCCTTCTTTTTGTCTCGAGCCAGGCTGTGAGACATGCCGGCTGCTCAATGAGGAACGCCAATGGACCTAGTTTGATGAGCTCATTGGGTATAAATTTCTAGGTAGGTGTCGCAATTCCAGCAGCGCGGTTCGAACCTGCGGTCAGGCTGCATAGAGTTCGCCGGAGACTAGCAAAGCGCGAACGGGAAACCTCCTAACTCTAATCAATGAATGGATTTCCGGAATTCCGTCTTGAGTTAGCTACGCATGTATGACATGGCCTAAAATCGCCTTCGTGCGCGTGTAACGTACATCTGTGGAAACCCGTTCGCTTCCACCCGCACACGTAATTGTTCCGCTTCCACGGGACCGGTCCGGTTTCTTGATCGGCGGTAAAGTGGTTCGGGACGGGGAGTGTACTTCTCACCGAGACTCTGGAGCTTTCTTGCGATGACGCGTAAGATCAACCCATACGTCGAATGATATACTTTGATACTCCATAAGCAACACTCAATTTGGGTTCACAAGAGACAAGCATCTGAAGTGTCCTGGCCTAGATCTAGGCTTGTGGTGGTCACTGACGACTTTCCCGGTCTGTCTGTCACAGAAACGCGGGGGGTAATAAAGACCTCAAAGCCGGCAAAATCGCGAACTGTCGCAGATGTCCATGGTTACCAAATCGGATGGCAACCTGCAATTCCGTTCTAAATGTGTTGAAGGGATTCCTGCATCCATCTGCCGAGGAGTGACGTAGATTAGATTTGGGTGCCGCCCCTGTGCCGTTCAGATTCCCTCTGCCCACCTGCAACGGCAGAGGCGGTCAAAGTCACCATTTAGATGTTCCAGGCCTACCATACTGTGGCCCGAAACTTGAGAGGGCCACTTACATTTTCGCAACCATTCCTCTTGCCGCTCGTTGTTGGTGGCACTTATGACACTTACGGCTCGGCAACAGCGGCACTTCCGGATTGTTTAGTCAACGGGGGTTTCTGTCTGATTTCCTCAGCTGAACGTGACTGGCCCTCATCAAAGACGGGATTCGGAGCTGAGAACGGTAAGTCACAACTGGATACGAGGGGACGCAGGACGCTAGCAGCTACAGCGCACTAAATCAGTGCACGTGGATGCGAGGACGGCGATGAAAAGACGCTACTCGTCAATAAATCGTGTAAAGCTGTAAATGTCTGGAAGGACTGCAACGGACTTCTTTGAGGATCATGGATACAGAGGTAATCTTGATTTGCACCCAGTCCTACCTAAAAGTCTTTGTTCTGGTAGTAGTCGCATTAAGGGAAATTACATGGAACGACTACTGTTACCTCGCCGGAGTTTTCTAGAACCTTACCAACCAAGGACTGTGGGGTCCCAGCAATAAGACGTCTACCGTCTCATTTGCACCAACGGCTCCTAGGGTTGTTCGGCGGCGGCGGCGGAATTTCGCTGTCTTGGTACCTAGGTGGTCTAGAGAGGGAACGGGTAGCCTCTGCATTCGAAATGTGTAAAAGACAAACCCTCTGTCTCCATTCAGCGTATCGTTCGTTGAGGGCCTGTAGGGGCCTCTACCCTAGCAAAGTGCTCCCGAAGACTTATAGCGATCGATGTTGAGTGGACACGAGGGGCAGATCAACGGCGCTCGTTCCGACCCCCGTACGCTTGTGCTTGGCCCATGCAATCCGTAAATGCAAGGGAGAGGATTCCAGGGTCCAATTCCACTTTTCCGGCCACCTCCATTTGACATAGCCTACCTGGACCTCGACAGTCGTCGTAAAGAGGTCGCAGTTTTGCTGAGCAATACGAAGAGATGAGACAGATAGCACACCTGGTCGTCCATCTAGCTTGTTCCAGCCTCAGCCATCAACGTGTCTAACGGCGGCGAGAGCAGTTCAATCCCAACCAAGCAAAGGTAGAAGTCAAAGTGGCTCAGGGCCCCCGTCCTGTAGTTATGCGAGTCACCACGGCGGAGAGCACTGGCAAGACTGGTTCGTTTCCGACTTGCACTAATAGATCCAATATTGGGTTGAATAAGCGAGTAGCTCCCTACCTCAGTGATTAAGCCCTGTTTGGCGGGCTTTAATAGTGCTAAAAACGCATTAGTAACCGGTGGGTGTAGGCGAGGCTGGATATATCAAAGCTAGGGTATTCGTCTTCCAAGATGTGGCCGCAACGGCCTGTCCAGCAAATCGCTGCTTGGGCGTGGTATAAACTGGCTAGGTAGCTCCCGGGTCTATATACTTTTTTGGTTACTCAAAGATTGCCTCCGTCGCTGTTCAAGAAATCCATCAAGTACAAGTGGGAGTTGAGAATTTGGTGGGGTCTTGGTCAAGTATTGGGATTGATGTCTTTTGTGGACCTGCCGGCCCCGAAATAGTCTCCAAGGTTCTTAGTTTGCCATTGCCTCACCAATACTTCTTGGGACACGACCAGTGAAACGAACTTAGCGAAGCAAAAATAGGTGTGGAGCAGAATTTGGCTACTCCCCAGGCCCAAGAATGACAGGAGTTGACACCGTCCCGAGTGCTTAGAAGGGATCGCTGGTGTAGTCCTGCATCTGCAATGCGCCATCGCGGCTTACAGCAAGGACAGGGGTCCCCGTCAGCGGAGACGCGCGCTGCAGCTCAGAGTCAACTCCACCGTAATAAGCCTGCAACACGAAAAAACCTGACGTGTTGAGCGGATGGGGGGATGGCAGGCCAGCGAATCGTGGACGAGGCAGACCAAAGTGATCAACCGGCCATGCGAGAAAGCTGGGGCCTGGCTTGAATAAGGCGGATGCAGCAGCACCCCAAGCTGGCGCAAGCTGATGGTTTGAAACGAGCACCCACAAGACGGGATGAGCTGAACGACGTTGGTGCAAGTTTGGTGCAAGTCGGCCCTCTCTCCCTCCTTGCTTAGCCCGGGTTTGCCGCTGCTCGGGGTGGTTCATTGTTCATGCGGCCTGGGCTCCATCTGTGAAGCAAAGCGCTGCCTTTCTTTACCCGATTCCACAGCTCATTCTGGAAGTTTACCTTGTGAAGCTTCTTCTCTACCACTAGCCTGCCTTCTCTCGCCGGCGGATCGATCCCAAGAGAGGCGGCGCGAAGCAACAGGCGGGCCCAAATCTTCTGAACTGGAAAATCGGCCAAAGCGTGGTTATCTAAGTCACTGGCTCGTGTATCAGGGCGCAGCTAGGGCTGCGACATTTCTGAGGAGAGGTAAAAGACGAAGGACAAGACGGACGGCAAAGAAGAGCGTGCATCTCCTCCAAGAACGGCAGCGGTGCCAGCATAGAGAGCACCCATTGCTGCTCCCAATCTGGCGCAATAAGCAGGTATGTTTCGTCATTATTCCAGCCCTGCCCTGC